TTCGAAATTGGATGAAAATGGATATAATAATTTTGTAATTCATACGGAAAATAAGCGATTGGAGAAAATTTATTCCCCAAACGTTGACCAAGAGAAGAATTCAACCATCAAACGGTTGCACGTGTACGGCGAAAAATGTCGAGAATTTTCACAACCGAAATTTTCATCAGCGGAATGTCTAGATCCGATAAATCAAATTAAAAAAATATATATGAGGTATTCCACGTCAAATGAGTCAATCGCTAACACTCACCCTCTTGGAAATTAATGGCAATTTTTTCTACGATCGGGGAGGTTGAAAAACTATCTCTCAAATTTTTTCAGATTTTTTCGGCAGCCCAGTTCGGAGATGTGATTTTTTTCACATTTTTCCGTTTTTTCCAATAACTCAAGTTCTGTTTGTCCAATTTTGATTTATTAAGCGTCAAAATTTTCCATTTTTTACCCCCTATACGACTATTTTTAGGAATTTTTTTTTCGATTCCTAGAAGCTCCTAATAACGAATTTTCGAAAAAAAAGTTGAAAAACTTGAATTTGGCAAATTACGTCACGGTTGATATTCAAAAATTTTTTTCCAGTAATTCTCATAATCAAAACAAGTATTTTGAGCTGTCATTCAAGTTGGGCATCCTCCTGGATCTATGTTATTTTTAATTTTTTCTTTTGGAAATTTCGCAAATTTGGTCAAAAGACCACAAAAAGACTTCGATTATGTATCGAAAAAATATGTAATATATAGGTATGCAATCAAATTCACTTCATACTGTCTATAATCAAAGTCTAAATTTACGGAATTTCGAAACGAAAAAATTAAGAATAAAATAGATCCAGGACGATGCCCAACTTACATGATGGCTCAAAATACTTGTTTTGATTGTAAGAATTACTGAAAAAAATGAAACAAATCGTCCGTGACGTAATTTGCAAAATTCAAGTTTTTCAACTTTTTTATTCGAAAAGTCGTTATTATGCTCATCTAGAAACAATGTAACTGAACATGGAAAAAGCCTCCGTAGACACAAATATAACACATCGTTTGCTCTTAGCAACAGCCCTAGATATTCACTATACGAGGAAGAACGCAAACCCTGAGTCTAATCACTTCCATTTGTGCATTTAAACTATCAATTTGATTTGTGTACTTTATTGAAAAAAAGTTTGATTAAAACTCTGTTCCATATGTAAGTCTGAATTGTAATAAAAATCTTTAATACTGTTCTCATGGCTAAAAAAGTCCATCTAAAACTGTACATGTTCTCAAGTCACTATTAAATAATACAAAAATCGAAAAGCCTTTGAAATTCAATTGTTCAATTCGACTGATCAAGAGAGAAAGAAACAATACAAATAATACGAATTCCGGGTAACCGGAGCACTTTTGTTATTATAACCGAAGAGGAATCGATAATTGTACGCATCATTTGGACAGAACGATTGTAAACAGAAAGAATCAACTCGTATCTCAATTTGGATGAATAAGTTGGCAATCAACTTTCTTTCCGGCAATTTTATTTGAATGAACCGAGTAATCAGCCAGTTCTATTTTCAACAAACTGAAGATAGCAGAAAGCGTTAGCACACCTGAAGGACATTCGATATTGGTCTCCGTCCCTGGAGCCAAGAGTGTATTTTTGCTTCGACCGGAAACAGAGATCAGCAGTAAGCACTGTATTTGGAACATCAGAATAAATAAATTATTTGACAGACTAGATCATGTTGAAGTGATGTTACCGAGGGGCTATTGACAGGCGTACTCGTGGTGTCACCCGCTGATGATGTGACGAAGGTCACTTAAAAACCCGGATTAATAATTGGAAATAATAAGTGATTAAAAGGAAATTAATTAGTTGTTAATGAGAGAACATATCCTCTCATTCTTTTCCCCTTAGCTTCAGAGATTTGTAAATATTAGTAAGTTATCCCGGATTTTGTAGAGTGTTGACTGAAGAAGTAGAATGGAGCACTAGCAAGGGCATTTCAGTGGAAGGAAACCCGGAGTCCTATGGAGTTACCTGAGAAGAGATGGAATCGCCTGGAGAGCATCCCAAAGGGTTATCCAGGATCTAAGTGCTAAGACTGAAGCCCTAGATCCGATAAGAGACTCAAGTTCATTCCCTTAACCCTAAGGAGTAACGACAGTTAGAGAAAAGCTCCAGAGATCTGATAGAATAAGTGAAAAACAAACGACTCACATGGCCCACTGCTGTGACACTTGGGGTTATGTACGACAGGACTGGACGAGGACTCCCCAAGTATTCGAGAGGGCCCGAAGTTTGACTAGAGGATTATGTCAGAGTACTGGAGTGGACCTTGAAGGCTGTAAGATGGCTTAAGTAGTGGGAACTGCTTAAATAAATGGAACCATGCTCCTGTCAGGAACACTGGACTTCGAGCACCAGTTGTCGATGGTGGGTCGATAAAAAGGATATCGACCCCACTATCAGAGTTCAACAAACTTTTACCTTGACTATCAAGGCGTGCTAATCGACCCTGATCGAGGGTGAATTGGGGAGAAATGAACGGAGGAATAAAAGGATGCTCTCCATTGGCGGAAATAATAGAAGGATGGCCCGGATTGGTGGGACATGACATGGGGGAGAAGAACTGACCTGGAACAACGAGAAAGCTGGTGAAATCGACACTCTGCGTGACGACCGACAACTGACAACAAACCTTTAGTGAAATTTAAGACTTAGATTAATTAGTAGACATTCAAGTAGTTTCGTAAGTAAGGAAAATTATCATAATCAGGCCTCAGAAGCTGTCTGAGGAGTGATTCCACCCGGAGAAATTGAGAAGCCCGGAAGAATGAGGGAAATCGTGAAAAGCCGATTTCATTCGTATTAGTCTTCACCGCTGTGAGTAGACTTTTGCAATAGCGCAGTGGCAGGAGCTATTTTGAGTGCGAATATCGTACACACCGAGGTACGATCCACCAGAAAACTGGTTAAAATATTATAGTAAAGAATTAAGAGTGTTGTTTTTCCCGGATTGATTGAAGAAAAGTGTAATTAATTATTGGGAAAATCCGTGGGAAATCCGTAGCGTCCCTGGCTTCCACAGTGCCGCCATTTTTGGCAATTTTGGCGAATCTAAGGGAAATTGAAATTAATTTAATTTCATCATTGAATATCGGAGCAATCGCTGGCGAAGCAGCCGTACTAAATTTCCCGGAAATTAAGTCAAGTCATATGAAAGATTATAACAAGAATATTTTTGGAATTTAAAGTTATTTTGAGTTATAGTTTTTCTAATTAGGAAACCGGGAAATTAGCGTCGTAATTTGTAGTGGAAGCGTGGTGTGGAAATTCCACCTTTTACGTGATTTAAGTCAACAAGACCGTTGAAACTGGATTATTTTGGGAGAATAATTTGAAAGTTTAGTGAAATAATTAGTTTAATCTGGTTTTAATGTCACAATGTAATCAATTGTAATCCCAGTGAAATCAATGTTATCATTGTAATCACATGATTACCATATTTGTAATCAAGTTTTGGTAATGAAGTGGTAATCATTTTTAATCACTGTAATCATTTGTAATCAGTGTAATCTTTCGTAGTTGCTCCTAGTGATACCGTGAATTTTGTTTGTGAATTTTCCCTGGATCAATTTTTCTTGAAATCCCAGATGTTTATGGTAGCTTTGGTGGAAAAGAATGAATTATTTCGTCACAATATTCTCCAGAATAAATGAATTAATTTTATAATGCATATGGAAATTAAACGATTGAGGAAAAATGAATTTTCAAATATTTCACAAAAAAATGCTGACAAATTTTTTTTCCAAACGAAAAAACTTTCAAGAAAAATGAATGATTAATTTAATACGCTGAAAGCTTTCTCAAACAATTTAATATTAATCAGTAATATGAGCTACATGTTTATGCTCTCAATAACATCACAGGGCATACTGTCCCTCGACTGGTGACCCAGAAGGTCCTTCATATCATGGAAAAATACACTGGGACAGGTCCATTAACGCACGGTCGAACGCTCCCACCCGTGAAAAGAGAGTAAACATTGTGACTAACGCAAACTTACGATCATGATCCAAGTGAGAGAGACAAGACGTTAAAGGGTCGTGCGCACGAGTGCTCTCGACGCGAAATATTACGGGGTTGGGGCGTAGGAATGATTGCGTATCACCGGTTGACTGCACACATTTTCGAAGTGCGGTGTAATCAATGCGAATATTTTATTTGACCGATAAACCATTTGGGGGTAATGAAAGATTAATTATTCAGGGATATGAATCATTATCGATGGGAGAGGGGTTGTATTTGAAGTACTTCGTGATTACTGTACCAATTAGTGAGGATTTCATGGCATGATCAAACATAAATATTACTTAACGTGATTCATGCTAATGGTTTATGCAAATTATGATTGGTACAAACAGATTAATTTAATTTCAATGTTTGGAATTCATTGATGATTTGAAAATTTTTGTTATTTGGCGTCAGATTATGTTAGGGTGGCATTCAATAGGACTAATTAAATTCGTTGAATTAATGACATTTATTGCATGAATGGACAAAATTGATATGTTATAAAAGTTATAATAATTAACTGTAGAAAACAGAGAAATTTCTATCTCCGGAAGTTGAAAGTAAATTTAGTTCATCGATGTAATGTCACAATTAGAGATGTGAGTAACAAAAATGATCGGTTAAATGGCCGTCATGACCGGTAATTACCGAGCGGAAATTTTTTTAATAATATATCTCGAAAAGTACTCAGGCAAAACGGATTATTATTTTATTCCTGGTAGAGTTTTCCTGCGCTTATAATGTTGTTATATGCTGTTTCTCATGTCATCATATTCTCAAAAAGTAAAAATTCTAGAATCTTATTCTACATCAACTTCACTTCAATTTTATGAACTGTTTTTCTCTGCGTATATATTCTACGAATGTGTTCACATAAAAATCGAAGATTTTGTCAATGAATCCCGAAAGAAGAATGAAAAAAAGGGTTGATAACTCAGAATTGTACTTACCGGGTATCCAACGAGACTCTGCCACGAGAACTCTAAATCCGCTACGTTAGCTGGCACCGGTACGACGAATGTCATTGCATATCCATTGACAACCCCCTCCCTAACATAGTACAATTCAGCTTCAAGTCCTGCAGCAAAAAAAGAATTTCGAAATGAAAAAATGAAAATTAAAAGCACCTGATATTTTGCAGCCAAAAAAAAATTCCTTCTCACCAGTACAAACCGGTACTTGGGGGAAGTTCACTTTTGAAAAGTTCTAATAATACTCGTAATACATGTCTACATTCATGATATAATGCGCAACGATAGTGATAAATGAGAATTCGCTCGAGTTCCGTGAACCGCAAGCATTCTGAGATTTAAACCGTTGAAAATAATTTACTTCTCTCAAGTAAATATGGTCTACATATCAGAAAATTGTTCTCTCAGTGGAGGTACTTCTCACCAGTACCCAGGTACTTGACGTATGATATAATACTTGCATCCAGTTCTTTTGTGACTTCGAGGAAGTACAAAATTTGTCTTTTCCCCAGACACCCTTTGGTACTGGGTAGAAGTACTTTCTCTACTGATCAGAAGTAATTTTTTTTGTGTGATTTCGTAATTGACCAGCCCCTCGAATTTGAGTTTTCACTCGGGTACGCATAGAAATCAGAGATATTTCCTAGGAATATCAAGTCCATAGATTTAGGGAACATTCTTCTCCTGAACCCCATCCGTGAATGTCGATCATGCGAGAATAGCAGGGAGGATAGACGTGAGACACAATATCTAGGTGAGACACGACACCCTGAAATCCAGATAGATCCCGGGATGTGTTCGGATCTTCAAGAACTATCACCTTCTTTTTGGTGTCTTCACATGTGACTAGGCAATTCGATATCAGGAGCGGAATGTCTACATGTGGTGCGGACGGTCGCACATTCTGGGAGTCAAGAGGTACAAAAGTGAGAATAAAGAATAAGAATAAAATATAAAAAAGCGGTGAATGTATGTGAAAGTCAAGTCGGACATTTTTTTTCGGAGACACCCGGCATAAGAAGCATGAGACATCTTTAAGGAGAGAATATCTCAAATGTTGAAGTTGGTACATATCCCTGGAGATAAAGGTCTCTCTCGTTGGATTTTAACAAGGTAGGATGAAATAGTTCAACAGTGACGTTGAGTTTAGATTCTGCCGTCTGCTCTCGGGCAGAAAATTGAGTCTGACTCGGTTAATGCGATGGTATGACGCGGGTTTAAAACGTTTTGAATCGAAGTATCAAATTCTCAATATTTGAAATGTTTTTTGAACTTGGAGTATCGAGAATACTCTTTTAGAAAAAAATTGATATCTCATGAACAGTTTAGTTGTAATTGTCAGGGGAGCGACATTGAATTCAATTTAAGAGAATTTCTACTAATAAAATTTTTGCATGGAAATTCAAAATTTTTGAACTGCACAAAAACAATAATTCTCCAATTTAAGGGAATTTTAAATTAATTAACAATTTAAGAATATATTTTTATATATATTTCAAATAAATATTGATTTATTTGAATCTAACTATATATATATATGCAAATATATATTTATTTGAATTTTCATGGAATCATTGAACTAAAATTTGTAGTTTTCATTGATTTTTTCATCAAAATGTAAATTTTGAATGCCAAAATTCTTTGAAATTTTTGTGGAACTGTTATTTGATAAAAATTTTCGAAGAGTTATCCCTACTTACTTCAAGTACTTTTAGTACTTTTCACAAGTACCAAAGGTACTAGTGAAAAGTAATTTTTCAACTTCTCTCAAGTACTTTTAGGATATAATTTTAGTACTTCCAATTGATTGCTTTGTTGAAAAAAGTGAATATTATTACCGGATAGAATGGGCTTTCTTACGTATTTTTTTAACTAGAAATGTTCAGCAGAAGATAATTTGTAGGAAAAAATCAATAGATTGCGATTTTTTTAGATGCTGTCGAGAATTATTGGTATGCTTTCCAACCTACAAAATTTCAATTTTGTTAAGATTTTTATGTTTTATGTTGTTATCAATATTTAGAAGGCTTCGAAAAATTATTTGCAATTTATTTTCAATTTTATTACTCACGAAACGGGAATTATTTAAATTTTTGAATTTTTAACGAAATTCGGTTTTTAGAAGAGGTAGAAAAACATTTTTGAGTTCTTATACTTAACTTATATTGAGTTTATTTGGTACTTTTGAAAAGAACCAGCCAGGTACTCAGTACAAGTAATTTTTTTACTTGTCCCAAGTGACAACATACTTGTGACAAGTACTGAGGTACTACTCACTTGACGCATGATACTTGCATCAAGTTGTTTTGTAACTTCCAGGAAGTGCAAAAATGTACCTTTTCTCCAGAAACCCCTTGGTACTGAATACAAGTACTTTTGCTACTGATCAAAAGTAATTTTTTTTGGGAGCATTGGTGAAACTCACGTTTAGTTCATAAAGAGCGCACAACGACTTTAATCAACGAAATGAATAATTTGTCGCATCCCTTTCAATGTCGTTTGAAATGTTCAATTAATTGAAAATTCACCTCGATTTGCTACTGAATCTTCCATGTTTCGATTGAAAATTTCAATGTCAACGTCGCTCCCCTGAAAATTACTGCTAAACTGTCCACGAAATTTCAATTTTTTAAAACAATATTTACGTGTACCACGAAGAAGTGAAAAAAATATTTTTATTCAAACGGTTATTTGGATCGCTGGATGCCCCAACGAGTATTATCAAGTTTTGTGAATCCTATTATTTGCTCAATGATGATAACAACATTCATAGCATTAAAATTTGTTGACTCTGAAACATTCTTGATATTTTATTGACCCTTTCGTTGAATTCACCACGGCTTAACCAGGCTGATGCTTCTTATCAATATTCTTGCTCTCAATATATCCCAAAACTTATGGCACACACTTCCACCTACATACATCTATTAGTCTTATCTCAGCAATCGTCGTAGGTACCGGAAACTTAGTAATTGTTCTATTTTTCTCGCTTACGTATTTTTTCTTGGTAAGCCTTCGATTTTTTCAGTGACGTCCCAAAAACTCACGATCATGCTGAATGTTATCACTGTGTCATTACCCAAATCTATATTGCTCTACGTCGCAGACCTTCATGTCAAGTGGAAAAATTTGACTACATGTGACTCCTATATATAGTAGGACGTTGCGTAGGTACTATGCTCAGTGAGTTCTTACCGCGACAATGATGCGGTTACAGTCCCTCATAGTATTCCTCATCACATTTAATATCGTCGCGAGTGAAATAAAAAATGTAGGATGGTGGAAGAATGCAGTGTTTTATCAAATATATCCTAGGAGTTTCAAAGATGCTGACAATGATGGGATTGGTGACCTGAAAGGTAGTTTTGCTCATTAGTCATTGAATGTGGAGACGAGTGAAGCTCATTGGGTGGACCGTCTTATTTTCCCCGACATTTTTTCCCCGATTTTTCTTCCCTGATATTCGTTCCTCCCCAAATTTCCCTAGCGTCAATTTTTCCTATGCTCTTTTCCCACATCACTTTTTCCCAAACTTTTTCCTCTTCTAATTTTCTGATTCAATTTGTATATGTTGACGTACATTTGGTCAAAACAGTTATTGATTGTAATGATAAGTGAGGATTATCCTTCTTTTGTAAGCCTCGACCGAATTACGATAACCCGGTCGTTTATTGATTTTCGAGTGTATTGATTTTTTTAATGAAAGGGGATAATTTTCGGCTATCGGACCTGAGTGATGACCAAACGCATTCAACTGTGACAGTTTCAATACGGTCTTTAAAGTTATGTTTGTCACTCGTGTGAGCCACATTGTTTCACTGCAATTCTTTATTCATTTTTGTAATTGGCGTCTTGTTTCATCGATGAAGAATTGAAAGAAATTAATGAAATTCGTAATTGAAATTGTTTGTTTGTCTATTTTGGCTGATTGAATTGCATGTAATATTCTGTAGACTGTTCTTATCATATTTAATTTTTATAAACATGATTATGACTTGTATTAATTTTTTCTTCATTCACTTTACTGTTCGTACGGATTATTATTTGCTCAGGTATCGATGGGAAAAAGAGGAGACAGTTTATTTTAGGAAAATCTGTCGGGGAAAAATATTGGGGAAAAAGTGTCGGGGAAGAAAAGTCGTGGAACCAGCTAAGTGGAACCCAACTCATCACCATTTCATTTCACATATCCTTGAATCGAAGGGAGAAAGCAAAATTTTTTCGACGAATCTTTTTGATGCAAAGGATGACTGCTAAAAAAGTTTCTACCGAAATTATGGATATTTTTCGTGAATTCAGAGATATTTATCAAAAACTCAACTGAAAACTTGACGTGTCCTCGTGAATGATGTTCCTATTAATTGCTAGTTAAAAATCCCGCGCCCCTAGGAAAGCACCATGAAAACTGAAACTTAATTCTCTCTGGATTCACGTGAATCCGACAAAACGCCAATGAAAATGGAACTGCTTTACATCAGCAGACATTGCCAAACAGGGGAAAGTGTAAAATGAAAGTTAGACATCTGGAAGATCTTATGACAATCAGAACATATGATAAGTTCTATTCAGATAATGAGATAGTCTAGACACGCCAAGTACGTTCGCCAAATCAATTATTGCAGCTGTTTTTTTTTCAAGATTTCTATTCATGTAGTATTGTGGATAGTTCATGAATAAATCCGGTCTTGGCATTTTTTCTTTTTGATTTTTATCTTTTTGAAGTCTTACTTTTCTATTCAATACATATATGCATACGGTGTTGACACACCTTTTTCTACAAACAATTTTTCTTTGTTTTGAAACGTGATGAAATGTTATGAAACGTGAAGAAATGATTTTTATTCGGGTCATGTCCATGTATGTGACAACTTGGATTTTTGGTGATTAATTTTCCGAGAATTCAACATAAATTGCGGTGAAATTTAAAGATAAAAATCTGAAATTTTGCCTCATTATAGCTATGATTGAGCTCAACTTTAGTGCGCTGTTTAAGCCCTATCGGTACAGTAGTTCCTGAGATATAACAACTTGTTTAAATTTCGTTTGTCCTCAATATCTGATAAACTACTACATCGATTTCAATTTTATTTTTCAAAATACTCGTCTCACTGACCTCTATCTAGATAAAGACACCCTTTAATACAAAGTTTGGAGATATTCCCGTTTTTCATGAAAAGCCTTGTACGCACGATAACTTGAGGAAAACCGAGATAGGACGTTGAAATTTGGCATGACCCTCATACTAATATTGTAATACTAATAAAATAATTAAATAATTGAACAATACTAAATAGATTTTGTCAAATGCCTCACAAAATACTCAACGGATTTGATTTTTTCTTTCTTCAAAATACATGTAGAGTATACTTGAAGATATTTTAACTCAATTGTGTTGCTACCAAACATGTTTTTCTCTGGTAGTCTAACATCAGGTGCTATTAATTAATCTCTAAAAATGATATATGATATCGAATAAATATTGAGTTGGAGGGAGAAACTTGCTGGAACGTAATACAATCATTCGTTCAATAAATGGAGATTCAGTGGAATCAATATTGATTCGTTCATTATTGATGAATTCATAGTTGGCTCAACTCCAGTTAGAACCTTCGTTCTGGAAATATCATTCGTCAACTATAAATATGTATTCGTATATTGAATGTCAACGATGCCTTTAATGAATAATTAATGGATTATGTTGACAAGAATCATAATATATTGCATCAATTTCTGAAACAAATATAGGAGAGCTTCCACTGATATCGATGTGGTTAAAGTAGTGCTTTCCTATCTCCTTGAATGTTGAATATCTTAATAATGTGTGATTTTAGACTGTTAAAAATTGTGAGATTGAAATTTCATGGAAGATGTTATAGCAAATCTCATGAGAGTGACATTGAATCCGATTTAGGGAAAAATGGGTATGAGACTTCAAGTTTCAAGTAGAATGCACGAAAATCCGGGATTTGTCGGTACAAGTGAGATGGAAATTTCACAACTTGATTGAATTTTCAGTGGAACATGAATATTCAGAAACCAAATAATATGAATTTTCAATTTGTCTTTGAATTTTCCTGATTTTTCTGAATTTTCACAGAATAATTGAACTGAAAAATCAAGTATTTTATTGATTTCCGGATCATTTGAACAGAAAATCAATAAAATAGTGGATTTTTCAATGAAAAGATTTCCTGAAATTTAAATAGAACTTGAACACGATAAAAAATTCCAGAATTTAGCACGGAAAATTCAGACGAAAATTTTGAATAGTGTAGGAGGTGAGATAAGAGAACATTTTTGTTGCAACCTTTTTGAGTTTCGAAAGTGGTCCTGTGACACTATTATATTATTTTATCTTACTAGGCCCAGGAAACCGCTAGTGATGCTGTCGAGACTAGGCGAGAATTATTTTGAAGAGGTCATCACGGTCTGGAAAAACATCGAAAGTTTTGGAATCGTCGCAATCTCGACAGACATTGGATCGGTGCATCTCGTCACAATTGCGGGAGCATTTATCTTGCCTGGATCTCGAGATTTTCGGTTTTTTAAGTTCACGAGACGAGACGAGACAGATATCGAGACAAACATTTAAAAAACAGAAAATACTGAAACTCAGACGTGATGGATTTTTCCAAGTTCGTGACGAGATGCACCGATCCAATGTCTTTCGCGATTGCGACGATTCCAAAACTTCCGATGTTTTTCCAGACCGTGATGATCTCTTCAAAATAATTCTCGACTAGTCTCAACGGCATCACTATTAATTACAGATAAGTAAACGTAAAATACGAAAAAGATAATCGTAATTTATGCTTCAACTTCTAGCGTAAAATACACTTCAGAAAGCGTAAAAAATCACTTCTTGAACGTAATTTACTGTAAAATTTTTCTATGTGCATTACCTAGCGTAGTGCATACTCAATACCTCTCCAATTTGATAATTTCTGATGAATGGTAAATTATAAAACCAATACATAACTGAACCGAAGGTCTCTTTCCGATGTTGCTCGTGAGATTACATTATTCATCATAGTGTCGTAAATATGTCACTTTCAGTAGAGCCATACATTTAGGCACAGGTCGGTATGATACCGACACCGACCCGGAGGGATTCATACAGATGTTAAAAATATATTAACAGTAATTTTCATTTTCAACTAGGGATAACCAGTAAACTAACGCATTTAAAGGAAACTGGGATCGATGCCGTCTGGCTGTCCTCAATCTACGCTAGCCCTATGGTAGATTCCGGTTACGACGTTTCCGATTTCCGGAAAATCCATCCCCAGTACGGAAATGAAACAGACCTCATCGATTTGGTAAAGAGAGCTAAGGAATTGGGAATAAAGGTACAGTACTAATATTATAATAATATTTATGTATTAACTAGGGGGCTTCGCCCCCTGCTCGCTTCGCTCACCAACCGCGGGGGGCGTTACCCCCCCCCCCGGCACGCTTCATTTTCATCCCGCCAACCTTTTTGAATATGTTTAGGTATTTGTATTATATAGAAAAAAATTGATAGAATGATTCATCTCCTTTGAGAAATTGAGATTTGTATTATTTACAAAAGGCTCCAACCAACGCCTTTCATCGGGAGACTCTACCGTTCATTTTTCCATTTATTTATATAGAATAGTATAAGGTATACTCTTATTATTATTTACTAAGGATTTGAATCCCGTAGAATTTGACCCCTATATGACCCCCATATGACCGCATCTGAGGTCAACTGGAGGAAAGTGAGTACTATCCGCTTTAGGGTGGAAAGTATTCACAAGTATTCCTCTCGCTCATCAGAAAGCAATAAACAAACTTTTCTTCTCCGGCATGTTACAAAATAGCATGCGTACATCGGCCGGAGAAAACATGACTTTCCGCCCTGGGTGCGCAATATACTATACGATCATTAATAATCCCAAAAGGGTGAACAATTAAAAATCAATTCCGAAATCATTACTATCATTTACTTCAATGTTTATTGTACATTAATATATTATTCTTACTTTTTCACACAATTTTCAGTTGATTCTGGATTTGATACCCAATCACACATCCGATAAACATCCTTGGTTCGAAAGAAGCTTAGCAGGTATTGAGCCATTCACCAATTACTACATCTGGCGTAATGTTACGAGTGACGGCAAACCTCCAAACAATTGGCTCAGCGTTTCTGGACAATCAGCTTGGAAATGTTTTCCCATCCGAAAAAAATGTTACCTCCATCAATTTCGTGAAGAAGAACCAGACTTGAATTACCGGAATGAGGGAGTCCGCAAAGAAATGGTGGTAAGTGCTCCCTTCTTTCAATTTGTAATTTAAAAAAAATCTAGAATTTTCGTGTAATATAATTGGGCTCCGTTTGTAAGTGGTTTACCGCGCAGACGGTGAGCTTAGATTAGTGAGAATTTGGGAAGAAATCATGTAATCAATGACTATCGATACTTTCAGAATTGCATAGCCGATGAAATTAGTGCCGTAGATAGTGTTGCCGTCGAGACTAGACGAAAATTATGTTGGAAAGATCATCATGGCCGAAAAAACATCGAAAGTTTAGGAATCGTCGTAATCTCGAAAAACACTGGATTGATGCATCTCGTCGCGAACTTGGAAGAATCCATCATGTCTGAGTTTCATTATTTTCTGTTTTTCAAATGTTTGTCTCGATATCTGTCTCGTTTCGTCTCGTGAACTTGAAAAACCGAAAATCTCGAGATCCAGGTAAGATAAATCTTCCCGGAATTGTGAGGAGATGCACCGATCTAATGTCTTTTGAGATTGCGATGATTCCAAAACTCTCGATGTTTTTCCACACCGTGATGATCTCTTCAAAATAATTCTCGACTAGTCTCGACGGCATCAATAGCCATAGAATTCTGGAATCATGTAACATTACAATATTGATGCATTGCAGTCGGAACGATTTTTTTCTCTCTACTCCACTTATTTATGTTAAATGGTTTACCTTGCTCGTAGTGGGACAAAAAGTCCGTGGTGACGAACAATTCGCCAGCTGAATTAACTTCATTCAGTTGACAATTAATGTCACCACAAGCATTTTGTACACTGAGAGAAAGGATTAGTTATCGTTAGCGAATGGATTTGTTTAGAGGCTAGGGTGTATTCAGTCTCATCAAATGTTTATTCATTAATAGTTAACAAATTCATATTTGAGGAATTTTATGTGACTCGACTTTCACCTTTCAAGTGAAGCATTCGTTAGCTATTAACGAATATTTATTTGGTCATATTCAACTCTACCCTTCGTTAATAATTAACGATACTCGTTTGGAATAAATGGATCATTCGATCAGTGTATCAAAATTAATATTTTTCTGTTAGTTTATGAAGGATCTAAGCATAATTTGGAAAATAATATTCCAATTAGTTAATTTATACTAAATTTCACAAAGCTGTAAACTAATTCATGACTATTCGACCAATTTTAACATTTGGGTATTTCCCGGGCTGCAAATCTAGACCAATTTTAGGTTTACTCTTCTACCAGAGGTAGGAATATAGTCAATACTTGAAAACGCCCTTGCAGTGAGACTTTGTACCTGAACCGTACCCTGAACCGTAAAAGATGCACCACAACAGCACGTCCAAGGGACAAAGCGGACAATAATTGTCCATGCGTCAACCAAAACGCATAAACTTTTATTCTGTTCTATCCTCAATAGATTATTTTTCCTTTGAAATACTCAAGTGAACCTTTCAATATAAAATAACTTGAAGCATATACCAAATTGTTTTCACAAGATTATTTGATTCAATTAGTCCCTCCCTCATAAGTTTCCCTCATAAGTTTCAAATAAGGAAATTGAAAACTTTAAATCAAACCCAATGATGACTGCAATTGAACCTCATAAACCGCACAAGAATCCAAAATTGTTAAACAAACTAAAGATATCAATCTAATTACAAATCTCATATATTCAATTGATGAAATCGACTTTTAACACACATTAACAACTCATTTTCAATATATAAAATTTAAAAAAAAATATTAGCCGTAAATTATTCTGAGCGATCTCAATTGTTAGCTTAGAGCATCGCTGAGTCAATAAAACAAGTATTAAACATAGGCCACTCAAGCGTACGAGACCCATTTTATTGCCAGGGCCGAAAAGAAAAACGCGCCTGGCCACAAATTATATTTATACATTTCAGACATTCCAGTAGCGGAATGATGAATACCCAAGTAAGAGCTTCAAAAGAAAATCAATATTTACTTGTTGCCCTTCACCATTTCGTTACGCAATCGCGAACATGTGATCTACAAATGACTTCTTATTCATAGGAAATTATGAAGTTCTGGTTGGCTAAAGGCATAGATGGCTTCCATATCAGTGCAGCTCCTCATTTATTCGAAATCGGGGATTTCCGAAATGAACCCCGAACAAACATTACCGGTGCAACCGACGTGGACTACAGCTACTTGCAACATATCTACACTAAAGACCAGCATGAAACATATGAATTGATTAGAGATTGGAAAAAGGTTCTGGATGATTACGCGAATTCTACTAATACCGATGAGAAAGTAAGCCATTTCACTTTGTTCTGTTCAATAGAAAAATAAATTTCAAACATCTGAAATTCTATGAGACAGGTACTAATGACGGAAGCATACACCACTCTGAAGAACAGTACAAAGTACTACGACTCTGGCGTTCAAGTTCCATCCAACTTCTTCTTTATAACTGATGTAAACAGCACTTCTTCTCCAGATAAATTCAAAAGCATTATTGATGCATGGCTCAATGAAACAGCATCACGAAGCGGAGCAGTTGCCAATTGGGTGGTGAGTACACTCTAAAAAAAGATTACTTCTGATAAGTAGGAAAACTACTTGTATTCAGTACCGAGGCGTTTCTGGAGAAAAGCTAATTTTTTTACTTGGTCCAAGTCGAAAATCGACTGAATACAAGTTTTATGCTCCAAGTACAATTAGCACTGGTGACAAGTACCAACTGTACTCATCATCAGTACTGAAAGTACTTGTACTGAGTACCGAGCTGTACTTCTCAAAAGTAGAAAAAATACTTGAGACAAGTAGTAATAGTACTCAAATCCAGTACCAATGGATTTTCGCGGAATATTACAGTAAGATTCATCATACAATGGAGATCGTTGAAAAACGAAGAATTAATGCAAATAAAATTATTGTTTATTGTTCGTTTGCCCCTCAAATACTTGAAAATTGAACTGTACTGGACTACAGTCCAGTGTAATAAATTCTCGAGCTACAGAGATTTTTTTTTCAAAATTTTTCAAAAGATGTGTAGAATAACAATTACCAATTAAGTTTTCCAAATTTAATTTCCAAATAGTCCTTTTTTTTAATAACAAAAAAGGTAATATTCATGCGAAATAGCCAGCAAAATGATTCTCAAAATAATTGTTATATTTTATATTGAACAAAAAAATTGAAGTATTAATCTTTTGAGCTATCTTGTGTGAAAATTGCAATTTCATTATGCGACAAAGAATGAAATTGCCTATTTAGAAGTCGAATTTTGAAAAAAAGTAGCTCGTAACCGTTATTCTAGACATCTTTTGAAAAATTTACAAAAGGAAACCCCTGTAGCTCAAAAATTGAGTACACTGTGCTATTTTTCTTCATTTTCAAGGTCTTGGGGGCAAATAAACAATAAATAATCGTTTTTTTTCCCACTTATTCTTCGTCTTTCAACATATATAAATAATCAATCATCAATGTGTGATAAATCTTACTGCAATATCTCGCGATTTTTAAACTCATCGTAACCTCCCCTCGATGAAATTTGGTCATTGTCATCTGAGAATGATAATGATAATGATAATGAGAACGATAATGAGAATGATAATTAATGATATGAAATTCCCCAACAAAATAACCAACCAAAAGTACTGGAATCAAGTCATAAAAGTACTCGCGAGAAGTAGAAAAATTACTTGCTCCAAGCATTAAAAGTACTTGTGAGAAGTAAGAAAAATGCTGACAGGAAGTAATAAAAGTACTTCCTCCTAGTACTTTTCCTACTTGCTTAGCAAATATTGTACTTTACCCAAGGACATGAAAAGTACTTGGGACAAGTAGTTTCCCAACTTTTCACAAGAAAACTTCTCCCAAGTAGAATTCAGTATTGGTGAGTAGTAACTTTTTTTTAGAGTGTAAGAATAGAAAATTTTGACTAAATGTGAAAGCTAATTAGCTTCATCTGTACACATTTAGTGAGATTTTTTTAAATCGTTATTTGACATCGCTTCGACCCGGTTAGGGTATACTGCGATGATGATCAAGACTTTAAATAATTAGATCGCACTATTCTACCCAACCGGGATTTGAACTCGGAACCTTTCGCATGCGAGGTAACAAACTTACCCACTGCGCCAAGCCACTGGGATTTAGTGAGATTTAATGGGTTTGCATATCACTGGGGTATTTTCGTAATCTTTCAAAAGAATTCATGAAGTTATCTGGATTTCTATTGGTGATGTCGCGAGACGAGACGAGGAAATGCCATCGTAGATGGTTTTCTCGTCTCGTCTCTACTCGTCTTGTTTCATCTCGTTTCACATGGAAAAAAGAAGTCAGAAAAAATAAGGGTCTCGTCTATCGTCTCGTCTCGTCTACTTAGTTCTGTCTCGTCTCGTCTAGTAATGCTTCTCGTCCCGTCTCTCGAATCTCGTCTGTCGTGGCATCACTAATTTCTACAACATTAATTTTGTGAATCAATTATTTAGATGGGTACCCATGACCATAGCAGAATTGCGACAAGATTCCCAGGTCACAGCGACCAGATGACAATGCTTGCAATGATATTACCAGGAGTCGCAGTAATATATTACGGTGAAGAAATAGGAATGGTGGATAAATCGGATATCACCTATGGAGATACGCAAGATCCGATAGGGCACATCGCTGGACCAGATAATTATAAAGAGTATTCACGCGATCCCAGCAGAACTCCAATGCAATGGGATAATAGTACAAATGCTGGTGAGTTTTAAAAGATGATGTTATCTAGAAATTTCAATCACGACCATTCATCTTTCTTATTTATCGTGTTTTCCTACATCATTTTTCAGGATTCAACAATGGAACTAAACCTTGGCTCCCCATACATCAGAATTACGTCGAGATCAACTTGGCTGCTCAGAAAGTTGCGAATAATTCTCATTATGATGTCTATAATAAATTGATCATGTTGAAGAAGACGAGGAGAGCGATTATTTCAGGAACCGTACAAATTTTCGTATCATCTGATAAGAAATCTCTGTTGGTTGTGAGAGCTGCGAAGAATGAGGCTATTATCCTAGTGAGCAATTTGTCTAAGAACGAAACTATTACTGTGGATGTGGTGAGCCATGTAACCTCACTTAATCCGACAGCTACGGTCGAAGTTGCAACTCTGGAATCACCGATCAAACAAGGGTATCAAACACATTGCTACATAAAAATTCCTATTCTTAATTCTTCGACCTACTTTTGCGAGTTGAATCAATTTTTTTGTAGATCATCTGTGAACCTGAGAGCGTTGAAAGTTGCGCCCCAGCAATCTCTAGTCCTATCCACGAAGATGAACTCGACAGATGAACTTGACTCACACAAACCTCCATCCAAGGGGGGAAAGAAAAATGCTAGTGGAACAATTGCATTATCTTCTGTTCTATGTGTTTCCGTACTACTTACAGCATTATTAGAATTATCTCACTAGTTTTCAAGATAGCGCACATAATCATCATTTTTTGACACTTTGGAACACACTCCAGGATTTTTTTTAATAATATATTTTTTCTACGTTTTCATCGTTTAAATATAAATGTTCTTATGCGAACTCTAACATATTTAATTATATTTTTTGTTGTCTTCAAGCTTCATTTTATACTGGAAAAACGATTTCGCAGACATGTTTTAAAAACCACGCGAGTTTCAAAGGATCAGGAGAGAGTATCGCTTACTGTTGGACAATCAATATATATTTCTTTGATGATTGTGTAATTAACTACCTCGAAAGGTCTAATGAGTAACCATCACTCCCAGAAAAATTACACATTTGAGTCAAAGAAAACTCTTTCCTTAAAATTTTTCCATAATTTCAACAATATTTTTTTTGGTGATAAAAATAATCATGTATTCATTAGAATGAAAATGTTTACATTATATGAAATGAATAATTGATAATTTATTTAAGGATTATTAGATACGAACAAATCGTTCTCTTGGCCGTCAATGATTTTATTCCTAACTGATGAAGTTGATGTTTGGATCAAGGAATCGTCTGTTTGTAGAGGAGGGTAGGGCAAAACGGGCCACTGACAGAAAATTGGTAATTCTTGTTTTTGCTTCCGAATGGAGCAAATTCGAAGTCATTTGTGGTTTGAGGTGATTAACAAATCTGATCAAATTGCGGTTCAACGACATCTGTTGTCTATAAAACCCCTATGACGGTTAAGATCCAAGAAGTTCACTTTTAATTCAACACATTCCGTGTTCCTGATTTGAAGGAAAGAAAAAAAAACAAATATTATTGAATTTTCTGTCAGTGGTCCGTTTTGCCCTGTTGGTCCGTTTTGCTCTACACTCCCCTATTAAAAAAAAAAATTTATTAAATGTTCATTTGAATATTGTTAGCCCATTCCTATATGAATGTAAAAATGCGTGGGACAAAATTTTCAGGGACAATAAAACTCCCTGCAAGGACATTCAATAATTTTTAACATGTTGAAAAGGTTCAACATCTCTATGAATCATGAATGGGATTAAGAATAAAAAAATGTGAGTTTGAATCGATTGCAAAATTTTATATTCACGTCATAATTTATTTCTTGAATAGCAATCCAATCCTTCAGTCTGTTTTTCCACACAAACACTCCAAGATAATCTCCGTAATTCTGAAAAAGTTCAATGTTATAGTTATAGAGATTGTCCACTGCAGATCGATCATCGCAGTGGACAGTCTTATCTCTTAGGTTTATTCTGTTCTACCTTTATGAGCTTGAGCACCGAATGTGTAGTTTTTTCAGCTGCATTGCCTCCTATATAATAAGTTACACTTGTCACCAGTGAGTCCTCAGTACAGCAATGGCGCGTCTACTTTGTGCTATCGTGTTCCTCATCACATTTAACATTGTGACGAGTGAGATAAAAAATGTGGGGTGGTGGAAAAACGCGGTGTTTTATCAAATATACCCCCGGAGTTTTCAGGATGATAATAACGATGGCATTGGTGACCTCAAGGGTGAGTTCCATCAATGATATTTGTTTAACCAGCTTTTCGAATTTTATTGATACATACAGTAAAACGTAAACGTAAATGACGTTTTCGTTTTGGCGAAGACAAAGTGCAATTTTTTCTCCCGCGTCGTTGAAAATCTACGCCGAGGCAACAAATATGGTTCTAACCACTCGTGAGAAAGTAAAGGACCCACCTAGGGCAGTTCCGCACGTGGGTACGACTCCTTTATTTTACCTCCCTAGGTTAGAAATCTACTATTAAGAAATCATCTTTTACGCTTTCTGAAGCACATTTTACACCTAAAGTTGAGGCGTAAATTACTCTGTAAATCGTTGTAAATTACGATTACATAAACGGAATTTACGATTTCAAATTCGTAAATTACACGGAAAAATAAGAAACGGTAGAAATACTGAGATCGCAGGTATTTCGCCTGAAATTCATACGAATAGGGCGCTTCGGTAGAAAAGCGCCAGCGGTTCACCGATTTTCCGCGTATATAAAAACACAATTGTTTTGTGAATTGAAATATATAATGATCAGTGCATGATTCACATTAAAGACAGAAAAGATAGAGGATTCTCAGTATAATTTTCATTTGGTCTGTGGTGTAATACGAAATAATACATTAATTTCATTATTGTTCATATTTTCATACGAAATAGAAATTTTTTCCTTTCTATCCTGGTCTCCATTCATATCTTGCCTCTGTTAGCTTCTTAATCCGCGCAGAATGATGCCTTGCATAAATGTGGTAGTTTGTCCGAAATATTCAAACTTTTGCGGAATACTGTCTTGCGCTCCGCAAGGAAAACGATGGGATTTATCTGGCGAAGCGCTTCGCTCGTACGAATCTCACGCTAAATACCTGCGATCTCAGGGTTTCCAGTTTCCTTTTTTCCTTCTACCTTCAAAATCACCGTAAATTACGTTACACGTGTGAAAAAGGGGGAATGTTAAGGATAATCGGGCGAGGAGGAAATGTAGGAGGTGAGGCGGAGGGGTTTCTATTGTTTTCTTGCAGAAAACCAATCGCTGAACGAACAAAATTTTCCCATTCGGATTCAAAATTCAGGCAATATTAGGGAGTATCTCCGGTTAAAAATTATTTTTGGAGCTAATCAAATTTATTTGTATCTGTTCCACGCATTGAATGGTTTCCAAATTTTTTTTTAATAGATGAAAAAATATTAATTCATGCAAAAAAATGAAAACATCGTCGGTAGTTTTTTTTTTTTTCATCAAGAGCTGGTACCACTGTCTCGAGAGAGCTCTAATCACAACGCTTCATCGCTCTCTCTCAAGAGACGTTTAAATTGACCGCGCTACCCCCACCCGATCGGTACTTGGGACGTTGCTGCTCGTTTGGGCTGCGTGCGCAGAAATTTCATTTTTCAGTACTTTTTTCGCTATTATTAATAAACAATGCTCCTAGGCGAACATCTTTTTCACTCGAAAAATCATTGATCACATGTTCTAAATGTGTCTAAAGTTTTATTGGCTGCTTTGGCTGCTTTTTCTCTTTGGATTTTGCAGTTTTTTTGGTGATTTCCATAAGATCACGAGTTAAATGGCCACTTTTTCAAAAATTCATAATAAATTAACCATGCTCCCCAGCAGTCTGAAACATTGCACATGCCTTTTCCATCATTTAAAGAATACGTAAAAAAAGAAAAAAATGGCTACTTTTTTTCTAACCGTCCCAACTCGCCCGATTATCCTTAATACGAATGTAGCAATGTTTTTAGGGGCAATCGTAGAGCTGCAAAACTGCGCGTGTCTAACGACTAAAATATCAACACCCGAGTTTCTCGTTCCCCATTTTCCTCACATGTAACGTACCCAATTTTTTGTAATTAGTGTTTGGAAAAGTCGTAAGTAATTGTTTTTACTTCTAAACGGAAACGAACTCTGAACGGAAAATCCTACTAAACCCTGTCGATGTGAGTGAAGAAAGGAAGGGGCAACTAGGCGTTGTGTGCTGTAGTAAGCGTCCCATTCAGAGGATTCATAGAATCGGCCAAAAACTAGTAGCAAGTTAAATGACAATTCATTTGAATTTTCTAGCACATTCGTTAGGATTTTCTCTGAAATTTGTTTGTATGTGCAAGCATGGACTCCACACATTCAGCCCGTAAAATCTGCAGATCATTAACAATTAAAAGCAGAAGGCTCTGACGTGTAATGGCTACCGTATGGCTGATGCAATTCGGTTTAGACGATGAGACTGACGGTTTCAGCTACGCACGTAGTTACAGGAATAACGACACGGGATTGGTCGAAAATATAACGACTGCGCCGTCTTTCAAACGGTGATATGGGAATGAACTTCACTTATCACATTTCATGTACTATTATAAAAGTTTCAAAAAGTACTACTTGATCCACAAAAATCTGTAAACGGAAAGGGACTTTTCCAAGCAGGAGTTTGAAAAATATAATTTACGATTTCTTATTCGCAAATTAAGTTAACATAAACGTAATTTACGGTTTCATATTCGTAAATTATGATGATATTTCCGTATTTTACGCTTACTCATTGGTAATTAACAACGAAGAAAAAAAGTCATTTCAACCGTACGATGTTTTTTTCGTAAATTTCGCATAAGTAAATCGTAAAATACGTTTCGATCAAGATAGTAATTTACGATTTTTTTAGCATCAACTACGCTTAGTAAACTATAAAAGACACTTTGTTATGGCGTAATTTATGTTTTAATTTTGACCGTAAAGTACACTTCTTTGAAGCGTAAATTCCAATTTTCACAGACATCATGTTAACCCGTAAATTACGCTTAGCAAAACGTAATTTTCGTTTAGGTTTTTCTGTGCGTAACATCATGAATTCTCGTTTTTTATTTGATAAGGAATCACCAAAAGACTAGAGCACTTCAAGGAGACGGGAATCGATGCTGTATGGCTGTCACCGATTTATGCTAGTCCTATGGTCGATTTCGGTTATGATATCTCCGATTTTCGAAAAATTCATCCCGACTACGGAACTGATGAGGATTTTACGCAATTGATAGCAAAAGCTCGAGAACTAGGAATCAAAGTACAACATAAAATAATACATGTTATCAAATGATAGTATATTAATGTTGTAATCTATTTTTATACGCTACGAATAATTAGCTATAAAATTGGGATACTAACATCTTGTTGGTGGACCAGGCTGGAACTCTTTTACCATTTGGGTACGACGAATTGCTGGACATAATCTTATTCGATGGAATTCGAGATGTCCGTTTCTCAAGAAGTTCGTGGGAGGTTCTAGAAAGTTATAAAAAAACTGTAGACCGTGTTCGGGAATTTTTACATTAATTTTTTTCCAGTAAATTACGTAAAAAATACCTTATGAATCGGAATTTTTACGCATTTTTCAGGTAATGATATGAATTCCAGATGTCCGTTTCTCTGAGAAATGATGGGGTGTTCTAGAAAGTTATAGATTGGTCTTGATCTATACAGATTCTTTTAGAAAATTCGAGAATCGGTGGGAAAATCCTCCAAGATTATTTCTTCTTCATGAAGATTTTTAGAAGTTCTAGAAATTGGTAGAACGATCCGAACCTGTACAGGACCTTCTGGTGAATTTGGCAATCGTCTAGAACGCTCTTCATTTTTCCAACCTTTGATCCATCTTCCTAGCGTACCCTAAACCATTCTAAAACCCCTTAAAAATTTATAAAAATTTACAAAAACTTCTCGATTTATTTGAGAATTTACCTACGCGACCTGTTCGTCATTGAAACGCTCTCTAGGTGCTTCGGCAATATTTCAGGAAATACTAGAATTCTATAAATTAAACATTGGACCACCGCAAGGCGGTCGACTAAAGACACTAGTGTAATGCAATAAGATAGCTCCATTCAATATTACGGTTATGAAATCAAAATTCTTAATTTAAAAACCGCTAAAAACTGGTGTTCCAGTGTGGTCTCAAGGAAGGATATTAGAATCCCAATTGTCTGAGTGAATTTTTCTCCATGTACACGGTGCGAAAAGTTAGGAAACGTGTCATGGAAATGTAACAAAAATTACATTCTGATACGTAATCATTAAATATGATGATGCTTTAAAAAAAAATCACTGTTCTTTACGCGAATTTTTATTACGTGTGGCGTGAAAGTACATTGAGAGAAAAGTCGACATAATATAACAAAAATAATTTCTTGAGCGGAGAACACCGCATGGATATTCCATCAATTCATGGTAGGTATCAGACAAGAAATCGGTGCTCTTCAGGCAAAAGGTGGCTGATACTGAATAAAAAAAAATTTTTTTTTTGGAAATTAGATAATATTTCTGAAAAGACAAAGTAAGTTTGACAGAAGAAAAGATATTATTGCTTTCTTTCAAACTCATTGTGATTGAGAGCAAGTGACGGATATATTTTAGAAATATCTGTTCATAAAATATTTTTCTCTCCTGTATAAATTCTGTATTCATTCAATATGAAAGTCTCTGATCCATGATTCACTGAATCGAAGCTTTTAATATATTTAGTAATTTTCTCATCTTTTGACACGAAATAAACGATTTCTTCAGGCAAGAAATTGTCACATTATCGCCAAGTGTTCGTGTTCAAATCATGAACATTTTATAGAATTCTCACAAGGTCTGACTAATTATGCGAAATTCTTATCACCAGCGTTTTATCCTTAAGAGATGAGATATTGGACGCAAGAAATTAGTTTAGTGATATTATGTCAATATTTCACTCAGTGTACGTATAAATCTATATTTAAATTTTTTCTTAGTCTATCAAGAAGAATCGTTCATGCCCGGAAAATAATGTATTTCCAGGTAATTATGGATTTAGTACCCAATCACACATCTGACGAACACGAATGGTTCCAAAAAAGTGTTGCTGGGGATGCAGCTTACAAAGATTACTATGTATGGCATGACAAACCTACTAACGGCAAACCTATAAATAATTGGATCAGTGTTTTTGGAGGATCAGCTTGGAATTGTACAAATGCCCGAGCACAATGTTACTTCCATCAATTTCATTACAAACAGCCAGACCTGAATTTCCGAAGTGATAAAGTCAAGAAGGAAATGGAGGTAAATATTGCATCGATTTTCATATACTCCATTGGAGACCACAATGATCGATATAATTCTATCCAATCGGTAAAGACTGATATATTGAACGAGTGGTGAGATTAGATAAGATGCGTAGTATGATAATACAATGCATAACGAATACTTCACGTGATTCAAAATGATAAAATACCAGTACTGACATGCACTGAGAGAAAAATCTCCTAATATAGACCTAATGTAGAACATATTTACTTGAGAGAAATAAATTATTTTCAATGGCTTAAATCTCAGAATGTTTGTACTTCACGAAACCCGAATAAATTCTCATTTATCACTGTCATTCTTTATTACATCATGAATATATTACATATTGAAACATTGTAAGTGCATAAAACAAGATCATAAAAACAGTAAATACTTGAAGATTCACGATTCTTCTACGCGATTTGAGTGAGTTCATTTGTGGGTAATTGATACATATAACTACACCAAAGAATTTTTCGAGGAAACTGAATTATTTCGTCATTTAACAAGGATAAGAATTGAAATCCACAAGAATATTGAGTCGGACTCAATTAGGTAAATAACTTGAAGGGGGTGACTGGGCTCATAATTGTGGCCTTTCATATTAGTTCATATTAGTTGCGTTCCCGTCGCGAATCCTGGGTAATGCTAAATGCTGGGGAGCCTTGATACTTTACGAATAAGTGCTTATCTACACGTTGAATTTATATGGACATCTCATAAGTGAAATTTAAAAAACTGCTATTGACTACTAATTTTGAGTGACACTGAAGGCGATTTAGAGGGAAAATAATTATGAAATTTCAGGTTTCACTGAAAATTCAGTAAAATTCCGGAATTTTAAGCAGCATATAGACGAGAATTCCTTAATTTATTTGAATTTCCAATCTAATATGAATATTCCGTCCAAATTACATTGAATTTACAGGAAAATCTGAAATTTCATAATTGTGTTTCCCCTAAATCGCATTCAGTGTCACTGTCCTAAAAATCCAGGAATATATTTACCGAAATTTTCTGGTTTTCTATTCATTTTCAAGGAAAAATGGAACTGAAATGGACAGCTCTCTTTGATTTTTCCACGAAATTCTAAATTTTTAATGCCGAAATTCCTTGAAATTTCAGTGGTAATTAATTTGGATAAAAATTCCTAAAAAGTGTACTGAAAATTTCAGACAAAATTTTTTAACAGTGTACATGAGCATCCATTTATTATAACTAAATGTGATGGTTCAAATAGATTAAATTCATTTATAGCAAATAGGTTTCAACCTTGAAATATCTCGATATAATCTAAGACTGACATATAAACTGCGATATTTACCCATTAATATATCTGTAAAATTGGAGTTATATTAGCTAATTACCCATTCGCGCCAAAATCATACTTGAATTCAAGAATATTTAAAAACATGAGCCCTTTCTCGGGCCACGTGAGCTGATATGCGTGGGAGAATTAAGCGACTGAAGATCAATTATTTTGTCTCAAGCAAATATATTTTAAATATTAGAAATTTTTGTTCTCACTGTAATAGAACCAGCCAAGTCAATTGGCTACAAAAATTCGCGCTGGTCTCTAATCACTTCTTTGTTAGAAACGGTCACTTTATAACTGAAGAAGAAAAATTGAATAAATAATAAATCTATTTATTTCCCGCAAATATTTCATTGCTGCGGAAATGCTGAGCAATCTCATTCTATGATAAGGAAAACTTCAATTTAGAAAATCTAAATTCATTCGAGTAATGAACCAGACTCGAATTTTGATTTTACGTTCTGAATAATAGTAATCAGACTGCAATCAGCGCAGATAATTTCTCTTACTAGCGTTTGCAGCCGGGGTTGATGCCCTTTCCCCTGTCATATTCGATATTCCTTTTTTCAATTAATCCTTCATAATCATTCTCATTGCAAGAAGCAATACGACCGATGAAAACCCGCTTAGTTTCTCCATTAATTCGAGATATGTGCCATGTTCGAGTTCTCATTTTCGATCCGAGATAGTGCCCATACCTTTTTTTCGGAAAGAATAGTACACAGATCGTATTTCAATTATGCGCAATTATCCGCAGGACATTATCAAGTTCTGGTTGGGCAGAGGGATAGATGGCTTTCGTGTTGACGCAATCCCTCATCTATTCGAGGTCGAAAATCTTCAAGATGAACCCAGAACGAATCTTCCCGGTGTAGTTGACGGAGAATATGCTTACTTGGATCATTTTTACACGAAAGATCAGCCCGAAACTTATGAAGTAGTCAAGTCCTGGAGGAAAATCATGGATGATTATGCGAATGCTACCAATACTGAAGAAAAGGTAGGAATGGTTCATGTACTACTCCGGCAATTGTACGTTACTGATAGAAAATTACGGGTGAAAAATAAAGCGCAAAATCTTTCAATTTTTGATGTTATTCACACGGAAATTCTATATACGCCGTTATAAATCAGTTAATTTTCGGTATATTCAATAAAATTGTATATTTAATGTTCACGTCTATGACAATGAAAATGATTGAAATTTATGGAGATTCAAAGAACTATTTTTTTAGAATTTTCAATCTATGCAGAATTTAAAGAATGCGATGTGCAATTTTTCTAATGAATTTGAGAATTCAAGTTGTCATCTAAGTGCAGATTAATGATTACCGAAAATGAAGAAATATTTTTTTTTATTTCCACGTTAAATAAGAATTTTAATAAAGAATTTAATTCCAATTTCATAATTTTACATAATTCGTTTGAAATTTATAACCCTGAAAATTCAAATTCATCTATTGGTTAATTTTTGGAAAAGTTCTAACAGTACTGCTGAGCATTTAACATTCCGATTTGTAAAATTTATCTAGGTCATGACGGTCGAAGCATACACATTTCTGAATAATACTGTGAAGTATTATGACGCCGGCTGCCAGATCCCATTCAACTTCTACTTCATAACTGACGTGAATCGCAACTCTGGGCCAGATCAATTCAAGAAGGTTATTGATATGTGGCTCGCTGAAACGGCAAAAAGACCAGGGACTATTGCTAACTGGGTGGTGAGTATCGTGTTGGAGAAAATATGTTCAGTTTTATAAATAGGCAGAAATGTAAGATACAGCTGACATCCTTATGATCAATCAAGTATTGAAGCCATCGAATAATCAAAAATGTTCGATATGGGATGTATTAATCCTAGTCTGATCACCAAACGCGATCCTGTGACTCTGGTCACCTCCACGGGGATTCCCCGCCGTGTCCCTAGTGCGGGGATGCCCCGCCGTGGCTGTAGTGTTGCCGAATTCACTCTACATTGCCCAGGCGCATTTTGCGACTATTCGAAATAATTTGTTTTCTTCAGAAATTTCAAGAAATACGTTGTTTTAAAAACTACTTTAATTCTTTGGACACTTCCATTGACAAAGTCAAATTTTTTCAATTTTTCTGGTTAGCTAGGCAATTGTAATTAATGAAAAACGACGCGCGGCGGGATTTGCCTCATATGGTGACCAATCTAGGGTTAAAAATGTCGATGGTATAATCCTATAGAGATTCTTCTGCATGTATTCTCCAACTGAAGAGTTTACAGAAGATTTTCATATGAAACAAGTAGGAAATTGCTTTTGTCACAACATATAATATTTTTGCTAATGAATAGCAATTTGCTTCCGAACGGAATTTCCATGACTATGGATCTTTAATTAAATGCAATGATTCATTGAATTCAACATTGCCCGGGCGCATTTCAGCCAAAATACCTTGCCCCAACGTTAAGATTTTTTACTTTTCTCTGAATATTGGTTTCAGAATGAATTTTTTCAACAACAGAGGTTGCAATCAATTTCATTATCGAACTCAATCAAGACGGTATTGGGAAAAAAATTTTGAATCACAATTGCATTCATTTAAACAACAATTTTAGAAAACACATACATACATCCGGACATGGTCTAAAATAGCATATTCGAACCCTTGAGGCCAAAATTAGTTATCCTAAGACAAAAAACAGAAAATTTCGGATTTGGCCAAGACCATTCGGAAACCAAACGTGTCATCCGCCCGGAAGTGAATGATATCAATAATCATGGCCGCGAAAGCCGCAACAATAAAAGAATTCACATAGTGAACAAATATCGCACGTAAAATATTGACTTTCCGAATTATTCTCTCCAGTTGGGTAATCATGACGGATCAAGAACCGCAAGCAGATATCCCGGCCGCGGAGACCAGATGACAATGCTTACAATGATCTTGCCAGGAGTTGCAGTGACATACAACGGCGAAGAAATTGGAATGGTTGATAAAACTGATATCAGTTATGAAGACACACAGGATCCTGCCGGTTGCAATGCTGGACCTGCTAAGTACACGGAGAAATCACGAGATCCCGTCCGAACTCCAATGCAGTGGGATGACAGCACAAACGCTGGTGAGCACATAGAGAAAAGGATTCCCTGGTTTCCAGTAACAATCTCACAATAAAAAAAATTTACTGAACGTGAGGGTAATTTATGCCGAAACTGTAAAATTTACCATGCATTCCATCAAACGTTTTTATTATTATTATTATTACAAAAAGCTTTGCAAATCCGTGCCCAATAATTCTAACAGAAACAATCTAAAGAGAACAATTCAAATAGAAAAATCGAAATCTATCGACTTTTTGCTATCCAATAGAATAGATTCTAATAAAATCTGTGCAGAAAACAAATAGAATTTTAACGACAATTCTCTAGAATTTTAATAGAATCCCCATAAATTTCTAGAGAATTTTAATAGAATTTTCCAACGAATACGCTAAGGATTTCTGTTGAATTTATGCATACGTGTCGTGTGACGTAATATTGGAATGCCCCTAATGGTTATTATTTTAAGAACCCAGGATTCATGATTTCAATACTCAACGGTTCTGGATTGTAGAACTTTTCACGGAAATTTAGTACGTTTTTAGTACTAAATTTACGTGATTTTTACACTGAAAATTAGTTATCAGATTCTGGATCTTAGTACCATGCCTTTTAAAACCACGAGTTTCGGAATTTCAGTATTGATAATGAAATTATGGGAAGCAGAAGCTTCCTTTCTCTGTGAATCTATTAATCCTTTCCGATGTCAAGGATTTGCCAACTTTTCGCCATTTTGTAGTCAAGCAAATCATCACACGGAGAGGAATATTCAGTAAAAATTACGGAACAATTCACGTAATTCGTAATATGGGGAGTCATTTTCTGGCTATTTTTATAGGAATGGAAGAGGAGACATCTGAAACGTTCAGTGAATTTTCAGGTTCATCACCGAACAAAGTACGAAATTGTCACGTAATTTTTCCCGAAGAAGGAAAATCTTACAGAAACTTTCCGACTTATTATGCCTCCAAAATCAAAATTTTTTAACCCTTTAACAATTTTTATGAAGCTGGTGAGCTATTTCTACTTTCCGTTGCGTAAAATTTCTCAATCGTTGGGGAAAAATTATGGAACGACTTATTATCCCCACAGCGTGAGTCATCAGGCGGGTGGTTAATTTTTACGGAACAAATCGTAGAATTTACATAGCGATTCATACAATTCCAGTTCCGACTCACACGTTCTATTGAATTTTACTCCGCTCCACGTTATGTTTCGAAACGTAATTTTTACGTTTTTTTTCTGGTAATTTTTATTGAATTTTTCTCTCCGTACACCATCGATTATTACAGGATTCAATGAAGGAGGTAAACCATGGCTTCCTGTGAACGAGAATTTCATAGATTTGAACTTGGCCGCTCAAAAGGCTGCAAAAGCTTCCCATTATAAAATTTATCAGAAGCTGATTCATTTGAGAAAAACGAAACCGGCACTTTTGTCAGGAAAATTGCAGACTTTCGTGTCAACTGACAAAAAATCTCTGACGATCGTGAGATCTACAAATACAGATAGTGTTATTCTGGTCATTAACTTCTCTGACACGGAAACTGTCACTGTTAATGTGGTTAGCCAAGTACCGTCACTTGCGGCTGGAGGATTAGTTGAAGTTGCAACGCTGGATTCACCCATCAAGGAGGGGTATGAGTGACATTTCCTACAGAATATAATTACTTATCTACGGAATTATAATTACATGTGATTTTTTATAGCTCAAGTGTGAATCTGAAGAAGCTGGCAATCGCACCTAAACAATCATTAGTTGTCTCCGCAAAGATAAAGAAATAAGATTAGATGAAAATGAAGGGTAACAGAAGCTAATTATCCTACAAGGACTATAGTAGACACCGTTGGAACCGTCTTTGTATATCTTATTCCACACATGAAAATAATTTGTCATGTTTTGTCAAATATATCGCTATTAAATTCCAATTAATTCTATCAATTATTATAAATCCCAATTATCTGAACAATGTAAAACGAATTAAACGAATTGCTCTGTGAATAGTCATCATTGTGTTTCAATCATTGATGGTGTCCGAGAAAAATATCCTCTGATATATTAATTCCTATGCTGACAGTAATTTCCTTATAGATATGAGATCGTTGGGCTAGAAAGCCTATTGGACAAATTCCGCGGAAACATTTTCGGCTTTGTTGATCAACGAGTGGCAACCTGATATTTACAACTGCGGAGTAGAGATTGGTGATAGAAATGAAGATCAAATAATGAAAAATTTGCTATTAACATGCAATAATTAATAATTATTAATTATTGAGACAAAAATTCGCTTCATATAGTGAATTTAATGTGTTTAATTTTATTTGACAAGAAAATCCTACACCTATATTCAGTTTTGACGGAATCAATATGGTGTTAGGTGCCAGCTTATTTTGCTTTAATCAACTAAAGTGATTTAATTGATATTTAGAATAAATCTGACTATGAATAATTAATATTACTTCAAATCTACCGTTCGATTAAGACGACGCAAGGAATTATTAGAGAAAATAAAAATTTATTAGAACAAAGTCAATCTCTATATGAGTCATTTAGCTGTATCATCATTCTCTCTCTAATATCTAAGATGAACTATTGTCTATTGGGGTCTACCCATCAAACTGCATGGTAATATTGTCAACTATGATAATTTCGTATTCAGTGATTTTCAAGATGGAGACATTAGTATGAATATTGTTGCAATTTCACAATTTTAATGAGAGTATTCAATGTATTACTTTAAAAAGATACTCAAGAAGTCAGTCAAGCCAACTAGGGTAGAAATGGTTTTCGTGTTGCATTGCATTTTCAATATTCTACATGAATACAGAGTGACGTCAGCAACTTGCCTCAGTTAAATGGTAAGGAAATATAGAATAGAAAAGCACTAATTCGATGGCGCAAGAATTATCAAATTACGATATAGTACATTACGCAACTAGTGCGGAAAGCAGGCGGTTACTCACGAGGGCGGCGCAGCCGCCCGAGTGATACCACCTGCGGCTCGACCACCTACGACCTGCGACCACCTACCCCGTGATTGGAAGTATTGAAAAATTTCAATGTTTACCGATTGAAAGTCTATTAGCAGAATTTCATAATATTTTTACCATTGCATTCATGGTTTTCTATTCTATATCCTCGTGAAATTAGCAAGCAAAGGTGTTGATGTCATTCTGTATGTTTCCAATCTCAGAGCTCGTAATCATGCTCACGTGAAATCGACTGTAATTTATCGATGTCTTAATAAATCGCAATTTATTTTATGTATTGCCTTTTACTTAGTCTGTAAACTTCACATCCGTTACATATGCCCTCTTCAAACTTGCATGTTGATGTACTCTTTAAATCCTCAAATATTGCAGTGACTCATAGGGATGCAAAATGACGGTAACTTTTTACATACGTTAAATCAGCCGTAAATTTACAGACCATTTTTGCCTTGACGCATACCTCATGATGCAAACTGACCGGTCAACTTACGCAATTATCAGTAATTTTTTCTCGTTGTCATCTACGCTGAAAAATCCTCTACCTAAGTGTAATCTGACCGTAATTTTTATGCACGGTCATTTTTGTTTCATTTCCTTCATGAATTGTTTCAGAAATTTGAATAAAATTATGAATAAAGCGTAAGCGGAAATCGAAAATTTAGTGAATATTACCTTAGTATAGAATTGCGAAAAATCAGAAAAGTTTCGTGGCACTGTTCTCATTTGTTATTATCATAGAATCTATAATGCTTAATTATAGTAAAACAATCGTATAACATTTTTCATTAGATGAATGATGTCGTAAATCTTCTCGTTTGAGAACTAATTGAGGAAATCTCTCAAGCACACAGTGCCTAAAGCCGGCTATCTTTTTCTAAAATTTGAAGAGCTCTGGGGTCCAAGGCTCAGCCCAGGAGCGGAATTTTGAAGTAATACGGTGACATGATGAACGCTACTTGTCGCGCTCTATCAAGATGTAAAATAATCGTTAAGATTTTCTTTGGTCATTTTTGTGACGCAAAATTCCGTCACTATTTTTCTGACCAAAAATGGTCAGTAACTGAGCATCTGGCATCCTTAGAACTCCAATCGCTTTCTATGCTTCGAAATTCTACTGTCATTATCAATTAGACTTCCTCCCTCGATTCCTAACACCTTTGACTCGTTTTCACACATTGCACTTCTAATCTCATTGGAAATATATATATTCCTTGCTTTGATTTCTCAGATCAAACACTTCGTCATCGATAATCTGAGTAGAAAAGGAGTGAACGTCTTAGTCACCTTGATTTTTTTTATTCCAGTGCATCGTTCCAATGAAAAGTCTTATCACTGAGGTTTTCTCCGTTCCACTTTGATGAACTTGAACATCGAGTGGACAATTCTTTTGTACTTACAGTGTTTCCTATATAACACGTCGCATCGTTTTTGCCACTGAGTCCCAAGCACGACAATGGCGAGGTTACTCTACCTTGTTGTGTTTCTCATCACACTTAATATTGCGACGGGTGAAATAAAGAATGTCGGATGGTGGAAAAATGCCGTTTTCTATCAAATTTACCCGAGGAGTTTCCAAGATGATAATAATGATGGTATTGGTGACTTGAAAGGTGAGTCAAAAATTTGAATTCCTTCGCTGTAGAGTTTACTTTGATAGTTCAGCAAAAATACAGGCCTGATGCTTCATGAGAAATCAATTGGTCCGTTCATTAACGAAAGTTGAATCATTGTTTTTGCCCATGAAAAACTTCTTTTCATAACAGACAAACATTACTGACAATGACGATGACAATAATAACCCTCATTTTTGTTTCTCATTTTTTTTAAGGAATAACGAGAAGATTAGATCACTTCAAAGATGCCGGAATCGATGCCGTGTGGCTGTCACCGATTTACGCCAGTCCTATGGTAGATTTTGGTTATGACATCTCCGATTTTCGAAAAATTCATCCAGACTATGGAACTGATGACGATTTCGATAAGCTGATGGCAAGAGCTAAGGAGTTGGGAATAAAGGTATAGTATCGACAAATATAGGCTCGCCAATGGAAATACATCCACTGTATCCGAGTTTCGTATCTCCCACCACGGAAATAATTTCAAAGATTGAGAATTGATGTGTGAAGAGAAACTCAAATTAGTTTCACTTCAGTTTTCAATTTTTGTTCTCCTCTGTAATTGAGGGGATTGCTAAGGGGATTATCAATCGTATAAGTTTACTGCCATTAGTCGATTATCGTTAGTTTGTTGTAAGATCGCACGAGTCAATTCAATCTCTCATCTCATCAATTGGTTAGTCAGAGAAAATCTGTAAGATTAGTTTAGAGAGTTATATCTTCCTAGTAGTTATTGACATTCTTTTATGGTGTATTATCAGGTTATTATGGATTTAGTACCCAACCACACATCTGATGAGCATGAGTGGTTCCAAAAGAGTCTTAACAATAATGAAACCCACAAAGATTACTACATCTGGATAGACAAACCGGCTAATAACCAACCTATAAACAATTGGATCAGCGTTTTCGGAGGATCACCCTGGAAGTGTGACTCTATTCGTCCGCAATGCTACTTCCATCAATTTCATTACAAGCAGCCGGATTTGAATTTCCGAAACCCTGTTGTTCAGCAAGAAATGGAAGTAAGTATTCTCTCTTTCACTGCAAACAATGATGTTTGAAATCCAAACGTTTTTGTACACTGAGAACAAAAATTATTTTTGCCAAAGATTCATTTATTTGAGAGCACCATTTATTTTTTCAAAATCGTAATTTTCCAATCCCAGAGGACCCTGACTAGGTTTCAATTATAACGATCACGTTGCTCTAGAGGATGACTATGTTGCACGTGACGTTGCATGAACTCCTCTAATGATTATTTATTTTTCCTAAATTTCTTATTTTCTGGAGGGAAGAATTTCGATCAATTTTTTAATGTCGATATTTATTGAAGGAGTTCACTCAAGGTTATAACCAACATGATCATCTTCTAGAGCAATATAATTGACATAATTGAAACCTAATGAGGATTACCTGAGAATGACTCGAGTGGAGAAATACAGTATTGAAAAAATAAATATTGTTCTCAAGTAAATGGATATTTGGCAAGAATAGTTTTTTTGAAACACGCGCTTGGAAAAGTCCCTTTTCGTTTACAGATTTTTGTGCAAAAAGTGGCACTTATCGTCTTTTAGCTTTTGAAGTTGTGAACGAAAAGTAACTTTTCGTTTACGGGATTCACTTTTCGTTGAGAATAGCTGACTTTACAGTTACAAGTTTAGGGTTCACTTCTACGTCACCGTTTGAAAGATGGCACCAGTCGGTACGTTTTCGACCAATCCAGTGTCGTTATTCCTGTAACTATGTTCCCCGCTGAAAACATCGGTCTACTATCGGATTGAAGAGATTGTAGCCGTGAGTGTCAGAGGTGGGAGGCAACAATTGTAGTGGGGATTGGGGAAAGTGGGGGTAAATTTGAGGACCACAATCTCCTCAGTTCCACCATACTCGTCTTGACTGAATTACATCAGCCATACGGCAGCCATTACGCGTTAGTCGGTCGCATCTCGGATTTCATGAAGCATTCCCTCGTCACCCTCCATGTTAGTCAAAACTTCAATCCCACAATAGGATGACTTTTCCAAACACTTATTTCAAAAAATAGTAAACGTTACACGTGTGAAAAAGGGGGAACGTTAACTCGTGTGTTAATATTTTTAGGGAGAGTCGTAGGATACGCGCAGCCGAGCGATAGACGAGACGAGACAAGCGGAGGGGGCCGAAGGCTCGACTCGTGCCCCCTCGGCTTGTCTCGTCTCGTCTATCGCTCGGCTGCGCGTGTCCTACGACTCTCCCTAAAAACATTACCCCACTCGTATTAACATTCCCCCTTTTTCACCCGTGTAACTTAATATACTATTTTTCTCGATGTAAACATTTTTCAGATATCGAACAGTGTTTAAATCGATCAAAGATATCTTATTTTCAGACACCTCCGTTAAAACATAAGATATATCAAATCAATTGCAATGTTTGCGGGGGGGGGGGGTATCCATACGCACGCAACTGAATTTGGCCAAATATATTTCAAAAAAAGCAGAGGAGGTGCGCAAGTTAGACTGTTGTGTTCGCTTTTGCAAAATTTTCGGGGAAAAACCAAAATTTCGGGAAGCAAAAGGCACGGGAATAAATGAAGTTATGAGACAGACGAGGTGTTTAAATTTTTTTTGTCTGAAAGGGCTTTGCTGCCTAACGCTTATGATATGGATGAAAAATCAAATATCCGAATGAGTGATAAATGGTGGAATTTCAGACGTTAAAAATGTCTGAATATAAACTTCTGAAATTTTTTGAATAAAAAAATGTTCAAGTTCTTTTCAGAGATAAATTGTAGCTGAAATTGTCAGGCATTTCGGCGAGTTTTACACATTTATGATGCTTCAGACATCTGTTTTTCGTCTGACATCTGAAGAACAGATGAGCGTTACACACATCATCTTTTTAGTGTTTTCTTAGATTTTCAGCGATAGAAGATAATCAGTATAATACAACAACAACGATCGATATTGATATATTAGAAGAGTAGCGAGATTAGATAGGATGATAAGATTAGTTGCACCAAGTTTCAGTCACTGCATCATTCTGAAAGGTAGGAAACTGCCGATGCGATACCGGCTTTATCTGAGAATTTCAATAAATCAAATGAGTGCAATTCAACTGGTATTAGTAAGCTGGAGTCATAATAGTACATCAGAGTACAAGGGCACAAATTTGTTTTGCGGAAAGCACCGCGCAATAAACTCGAGGTACTCCACGGGGCGGTTTAATAAGTTGTAAACTGAGAGAAAAAACGACATAATATCACAAACATTATTTCTTGAACGGAAACCATCGTATTCATATTTAATCAATTTATGATAGGTTTCAGACAAGAAATCGGTGCTCTTCGGGTTAAGGAGGAAGTTACTGAATGATAAAATGATGCCTTTTTTCGCAATGAGAAAATATTCCTTAAAAGACAAGAGAAGTTTAACAAAAGGAAAATGAGATTTGCTTTCCTTCCAACTCAAAGCGATTGAGCGTAAGCGACGGTTATATTTTTTTAATATCTGGAGGTTTTCTTCTGCATAAGCTTTCTATTCATTCAATATGAAAGTCTCTGATTCGCGATTCTCTGAATCGAAGCTTTTAATATTTTGCGTCATTTTTTCATCTTCTTCCACGAATAAACCGATTTCTTGTGGCAAGAAATTCTCACTTTATCATGAAATGTTCGTGTTCAAGTCATGAACACTTCACTGAAATCTGACATCGTCTGACACATTATTCGGAATTCTTCTCCCAAGAAATTTATTCTCAAGAGATGAGATATTTGGCGCAAGGAATTAGTTTTGTGATATTATGACGATATTTCTCTCAGTGTATATAGTTGGACATAAGTTCTGTTAGAAAAGCATGTGCGGCAAAGAATTTTAGAGAAGTTATGCAACAAAAAGTTGGATGCATGTGGATTGATCAACTAGAAGCCAGACGACCTTAAGCGTCTACTGCAGATATTCGGATGAGGAAATCGTGATTTCATATGTAGCAATAATCGGTCAAAGGATCCAATTTTAATCCAATCTTCGGATGTCACTAATTACGCTGCAATCTCCTCACAGACAGCTATTAAATTTACTCACTACCTGTATTTCATGAACTTGTAATTATCCCCAGGACGTAATTAAATTCTGGTTGGAAAAAGGAATAGACGGTTTCCGTGTTGACGCAGTTCCCCACTTATACGAAGTCGAAAATCTTCTAGATGAGCCCAGGACTAATGCCTCTGGTGTCACCGATAGTGAATATGCTTATTTAGATCACGTGCACACGAAGGATCAGCCGGAAACCTACGATCTAGTTAAATCTTGGAGAAAAGTCCTAGATGACTATGCAAATTCAACCAATACCGATGAAAAGGTTAGCGAAATTCTTTTCCTTATTTCAATGGAAATATCTGTTCTGAATAATCACCATCACAAATTATGTAATACAGGTGATGATGACAGAGGCATACACAACTCTCGGGAATACCACCAGGTTTTATGACAGTGGTTCCCACGTTCCATTCAACTTCTTCTTCATAACTGATGCGAATCGAAATTCTACTCCGGATCAGTTCAAGTCGATTATTGATGCATGGCTAGGTGAAACGATACCTAGAGAAGGAGCAGTTCCCAATTGGGTTGTGAGTATTAGGGTTGTGAGAGCTAACAACATCTTGATATGCAAGCATTGACGATATCAAATCATTAATGATGGTCTCGTCATTTTTGTCGGCCTCAACCAGAAGATGAATTACCGTTCGTACCGAATTAATTTCATAAATCATCTTTTTCAGATGGGCAATCATGATCGAGCAAGAACGGAAAGCAGGTATCCAGGCCGAGGTGATCAGATGACGATGCTTGCCATGATCTTACCAGGAGTTACAGTCACATACTATGGTGAAGAACTTGGAATGATTGACAAATCTGACATCAGCTTTAGTGACACCCAAGATCCTCAAGGTTGCATTGCCGGACCAGAAAAGTACAAAGACAAGTCACGTGATCCCAACAGGACTCCAATGCAGTGGGACAACAGCTCGAATGCTGGTGAGAGACTGCACGCAGGAAAATTACCAAACGGGTCATGTAATCGTAGAGCGAAATCGATTTCCAGATCTTTTTCACCCTATATCGGGGTAAAAAAAGAGATAAAAGTGAATTTTTTTTCGCTGTTTTGAGAAAGTTTAAGAAACGTAAGGATAATATGAACCGAAAATAAAAAATTAATCATTCACGGAGAAAATTATTTGGTGAATTTCAACAGCTATTTGTTGAAAAAAAATAAATTACCAACTAGTTCGTAAATGCCAACTACTGGTTGAATTTTAACAACTAGTTGTTAAATTTCACCAATTAGTTTGTTCAAATTCACCAACTGGTGGGTAATTAATTTTTTTATAGATGTTTGTTCAATAGATGTATTTTTTATGAACTGTATTTTTTATTCAACTCCGATTTTGCTCCACGATTATTTTTCGTATAGTATTATAATATTTGCCACGATTTTCTAGTATTTTGTATTAAACTTTTCTCTCCGTGTGTTAATAATCATCCTCGAAGTTCTTCATCACACTCATGAATTTTTTGCAGGGTTCAACCAAGGTTTTAAACCATGGATTCCTGTGCACGAAAATTATAAAAATCTGAACTTGGCTGCTCAAAAAGCTGCGAAGGCTTCTCATTATAAAATTTATCAGAAACTGATCCGTTTGAAGAAAACAAAGGCGGCTCTTATATCAGGAAAAACTCAAGCTTTGGTCTCAACTGACAAGAAATCGCTTTCGATTATAAGATCTACGAATACAGAGGTAGTTATCCTGATAATAAACTTCTCCGATACTGAGACTATCACTGTTAATGTCCTGAAGCAAGTACCCACACTTGCCGCTGCAGGATTGGTTGAAGTTGCAACTCTTGATTCACCAGTCAAAGAGGGGTATGTAGCTCATGCTTCACGAAATCGAATAACTAGAGCTGGATATTCAATTTAAATTTGAGATTTGATAACCATGTAATCATTTTTTTCGAAGGTCAACTGTGAACCTGAAGAAGTTGCCAATAGCGGCCAAACAATCTCTAGTCCTGTCGGCCAAGATTAAAAAATAAAATGTGATGGAAATTGGCCATGATGACAGCGAACGTGATCGTATTGGAATAATCGCACTATCGTCAGTCCCGCCTGCAGCATTTGATTCCGTTATGAAATAACCTCGCTGTTAGTTATAACAAGAAAGTGTAGTTCATATTATATAAAAATTTCAATGTTAAATACAACCTTGATGATGGATGTTTACTAACAATAAATTAACTGCAATCACGTTTCCATAATCCCCATGTGATATGTCCCAATCATTGTCGTCCCCATTCTCCCACGTGAGGATGATAACCCGTTAGCCTGTTGGAATGAACGGTTCAGAGTTCATTTTGCAACCGATTTTATGACAACGAGATCGACCGCGCATGCTGCGCACGCGCCTTCTCTTCTTCTCACGTAGTGGCGCTTTGGTTTCAGTCTTACGCTTACGCTTATTCGAGATTTTCGAGATATTTCGAGATCGATTTCCTTTCTTCTTTTTACCATAGGAAATTGAGTCAATCAGGTAGGAACTCAGGTAGGAGTCACTCACGTAGGAACATAAAAAAAAAATCCAAGTGGCCTAGGAGAATTATTCAGAAGGGATGATTAAAAAACTCATGAAAAATAGGAATTCTGCACGCGCAACTTCGAATAGCGTCAACGTCGAGGTTAGGAATCGTGGAGGGGTAAGCGCGGCAAATACGAATGGAGTTATGGTGATACATTGCGCTAGGGGGAGGAACATAGCTGAGTGAATTAGTGCTGCGAACACAGCGAAACGAATGTCTGAATTTCACACATTTTTTGCAGACATTTTTCAGACATTAAAACCCGGGACAGGACATTTGGCGCCGGACTTTTTGGCGCCAAATACTCGAATGATGTTAAAAGACACACAAATTTAGTATTTTCTCGGGGCGCCAAAAAGTCCGGCGCCAAAAAGTCACGTACCGGTTAAAACCGTCTGAATAAAATAAAAATTCGTCTGAATTTTAAACATGAATTAAAATGTTTAGGCACCTGTTCTTCTAAAATTCAGACAAATTTTCATTTTATTTAGACGTTTTTTAGTGTCGGAAAAACGGCTACAAAAGATGTGTGAAATTCAGACATTCGTTTTTGCTATGTTAACTTGTACCTTGAAGTTACTTTTTCTATCCACATTAATTATTTTCCAATTATCCAAAAGACAAGCTAGCGAAATAAAAGAAGGTTTGAAATATGTGGGAATAAAATAGAAAAGTTATTAAAAGAATATTTCGAACACAAAAATGGTCGACAGATTGAAAATTTCTAATTGAAATATGCTATTTTTTTTGTTCCGAGATTGGTTTTCTGCGAGAGAATACTAGATTCCCTTCCGTCTCACCACCTACATGCTCACCCCGCCATAAGACCTCAATTAAAGAGCTGTCATGTTACTAGGCCCGATAAACCGTGATTCTAACATCGCTTTGCTTGACTAGATCGCAGTTTTCGGGTCGGTTATATAAAATAGTCAACATGAAACAGCCCGAAAAGTATTTTCGAACAAATGTGGTTATAATTCTCTCCTGGCATCAGATGAGAAAAGGCCTAGAGTAGACCGAGAATGGCCTGGTACTGCCACCATTGTCCCACCCTCGGGCAATTTTAGCCCATTCCTCATTTCTTCACCCTTACCACCTCATTTCATTTGTTTCTCGTAATAATATCCACTATGTCATCAGCACGGTAATCAACGTCGACTTATTATCCACATTCCCACATTGCGATTCGTATTGAACGTTTCTGTGTAATGTTTTCGAAAATGTCATGTTTTGTATTTTCCGCACGAACACTTCGCAATAATCTCCGCCTTTTTGAAGAAGCAGAGAACATCTTAGTCACGTTGATTTGTTTTTCCATGAAATACATCGTTGCAACGGATAGTCTTATCACTATCATATTTTCTGTTCCACCTTAATGAACTTGAGCATCGAGTGGACAATTTTTTCTGCAGCTGCACTGCTTCCTATATAAAACGTCGCACCGTCGCCATTCGCGAGTCCCAAGTACGACAATGGCGCGGCTTCATTACCTTATCGTGTTTCTCATTACGTTTAATATCGCAGCGAGTGAAATAAAGAACGTGGGATGGTGGAAAAATGCGGTGTTCTATCAAATTTATCCGAGAAGTTTCAAGGATGATAATAACGATGGGATTGGTGACCTGATAGGTGAGTTTGTGCATAATTTGCTTTTTTTTGCATTGCTGGAGTAACGTAATTGTAAAGAAGTTCATAGAAGACCGCGCGGTATAATCAATCCTTGAATCAACTGAAAACGTTTAGTCCTTGTTGAAAGGACTCATCAAGCGGTTTTTCATATGCACTGTTAAAAATTTTTCTCTGAATTTCCTGTGCCAAATCCCAGAAGTTTCATCGTGTTCCAATTCCACTAAAAGTTCAGGAAATCTTCTCATTGAAAATTCAAAATTTTGTGGAAAAATCCAACAGAATTGTAAATTTCCGTTCCATTTTTCCCCAAAACGAATAAAAGACCAGAAAATTCTGGTAAATATATGCATGAATTTTCAGGATAGTGACGCTGAATGCGATTTAAGGGGAAAAAAATCATGAAATTTCAGATTTCACTGAAAATTCAATGCAATGTGACACTGAATATTCACATTAGATTGGAAATTCAAATAAATTAAGGAATTCTCTTCTTTATGCCCCTTAAAATTATGGAATTTTACTTAATTTTCAGTGAAACCGGAAATTTCATTATTTTTTCCCCCTAAATCGCACTCAGTGTTACTGTCCAGAGAATTGGTAGTCAACTTTCCATGTAATTTCATTCTTTTTCTAACAGTGTGTGGCGAGGTGCCTAAAAAAGTAAAAAAACATATCGAATTCAACCCATTTTGCCCTGTATTTTATTCTGAAACTTTGCACGGAAGAAAAATATTCTCGAATCGGGTATATAATATTCCAGAATCAGGAATATCTGTATTCCGGAATCCGCGACCTTATATTCCAGAATCCGGAATAATATACCGAAATTAGGAATGAAACATTCCGAATTATGGAATAATAACCCGGAATCCGGGACATTTTATCCTCAATTCCGGAATAATATTGCGAAATCCAGTATATATAATTTTCAAATAGATTCTCAGTCGATATTGGGATATATTCATTCTCTGGATGATAGTGTACGTCAAATTGGTCACTCGGAAAGAAGAACGGACGAAGGAAAGAAAAAGAAAAAAGTGACACAATTATACTGTGACGAAGTGCAAGCTTGGGGCCTCCCAAACCTCTACCTCGGCTAGTGACTCGGAGTAGTCCTCAGAGTGAGGAGCTCAATGGCCTCCCAGCAACTTCAAACTGTTCAGGAGGTTGCTGGTGGCAATAATAATTCAAAAACCAGAAAGAATGTCCTAAAATTGTCCCCTGAAACCCACCAATAGTTCACAAAAACTGCAATTGCCAGAATGAATTGAATGAATTGTTCTTCAGAAAGAATTGAATGAATTCTTTTTCAGAAAAAATGTATGAAAATACTTCCCTGAATGGTTCCCGTGATTATTACCCGATCTCACTTAAATTCGGACGGCGCATCTTCAGTACATGCCATCTCTTATAGAAGCAACGTACAATATTTCAGTACAAGGAAGTTCCCGGAATATTATTCCGGAATTGAGGATAAAGTATCTCGGATTACGGAATTTATTCCGGAATCCCGAATGTAATATACCGGATTCAGTAATACATATACTCCTGACTTCAAAATATTATATATCATATTCAAGAATATTTTTTTATTTTTTTGTTCCGTTATTTATTAATTTTTTTAACGTGAAAAATCAAGTGCTACCATAAAATGCAAAGCAAAATCTGTTGATTTCGCTTTTTTCTACTTCCTTAGATAAACCATCATATGAAAAGTGGCTAAATGCGTCCCTTCACCGCCTCCGGAGTTCCAAGTTTCAGGGCGCCCCCCCCCCTGGCCCTTAAAGACCTGGTTGAGTCATTTTCACTTGAATTCTCAGAAAAGCATAGTTTCCTTAAAAGACGGGAGAAGCAGTACTATTTGCTGATTGTCGTTTTTTATTGACTCAGGAATAACAAGCAAACTAGACCATATCAAGGATGCGGGAATCGATGCGATATGGCTTTCACCGATTTATGCCAGTCCTATGGTTGATTTCGGTTACGATATCTCGGACTTCCGAAAGGTGCATCCTGATTATGGCACTAATGAAGACCTTGATAATTTGGTTAAAAAAGCTCGAGAATTGGGAATCAAGGTACTGTATTCATTACTCTATCTTTGTTAACTTCCGGACCTCAAGGAAGAAAGTTCTTGTGACGACCCGGAAAATCGAATGTGAAAATTTTCCATCTCCACATTTCATGATCTCTCGAATCATTCAGTGATCCTTTCCAAACGATGTTTGTATGTGTGTGTCTGTGTTTGTATGTAATCCAAGTATGGTCCAACAAAATGTTCTGAACAGATGATAGGATTTGCTTTTTTTTTGTAAAATCGATGTATTTTTGTGGGGATACATTTTTAAAAGATGAAATAGCTAGAGTTTTTTCTTAACACACTTTAACTTGAATTTAATATTTACACAGTTTATTATACAAAATACTTCGTCTTCGTATTAAAACTTTAATTGACTCAAATCGTTAAAATCGTCCAACACCTCACCCGAAAACTTCGTCTATTCGTCTACGCGTCTATTCGTCTATACCATCTATACCGTCTCGACTCCCAAAATCAACTAACTCTAAAATGTAACCTTCGTCCCTTTGAGACCCTTGATTCCTCCCTCCTGGCCTCTTCCCCCACTACCGAGCATCAATGGGCCTCACTCGCCATTTTCGCCTCTGGAAATTCTCAAGATGTGGCAGCGTGGGTCAGCCAGGGGGTCGCGAGTCATCGACGAGGGTCCTCCGGCGTACCCTCAATAAACATATAAAACTACGGACCGACTTCATCCGTCTTGACCTAATCGTACCACAATAAAATACCTTAATAAAATATTGTTAATTGTCGTCTCCGATTATTTCCAAAATATAGGGTGTCCCATCTGAAAAGATGCGGCTAAATATCTCTTAAGGGAGGCGGGCAACACAAAAATGTTTGATATAAAAATTGTAGGGTTTCGAGGGGGGCATCCGATGTAGTCATTATTTTGAGCTTCCAAGCTCACGCTTGCAAGTTGCAAGCACAAAGTGCTTTGTTTCAAATGCAACCGAATTTTTTACCCCAGTGAAACTTGTTCATCTTGATGAGTTGTTCTAAGAAACCTCGTCATTCATTCAATTTCATCTCATTTTACTCTAAAAATGCCATAAAAAGAGTTTTGTGGACAAATTGAAGATGCGTATACAAAAGACTATCCTTGCGTAATTCCCCAAAGTCTAGACAAATCATCCCTAAATTGCTCACATAATTCCCCGCGGTCGCGACAGTCGTCGAGCTAGAAGTTTTCAAAACTACATCTTTGTATTGTATAATTTCATTCTGATTGAATATTGAGCGAGATCATCTCACACCGTTGAAAATTTTTTCACACTTTGTCATCGAAAAGTTATTGGTTCGAACGGTAATGGGTTACACCCTCTTCAACCAACTCCTACAGTCCCACTTTAGTTGGGAGCGAGCAACTGGCATTCAATTTTCTGTTAGAATTTTTCTACTACGGGGTCGTTCACGTATTACGTAGACAATTTTTACCCCCCCCCCCNTTATATCAGCGAATTCTCTATTTTGATAACACGCACTGTCAGAAATACTGACTCCCCCCTCTCCATAATGATGCTTACGTAGTACTTGAATACACTTAAATTTTCATTTTCATTGACGGAAATAATGACAATCGTATCGCCCTTCAACTCGACGAAATTAGCTCCTGTGACAAGTACTTGAAGTAACTTATTCATGGATCCTAAAGCTTGTTCTATCAGCGAGGTTCCGTATATCATATCGATACCTTAATAACACAAGACAAGTGTAATTTCTATGGGTGCTCCATGTAGATACGCTTGTCAGTTATTAAGGCGTCGATATGAACTCTTTCCGTGATTCAGAAAAATTAATTATCTTTCGCATTATTGTAGATATTGAAATTCCAAAAATCTTCCCATCGAATAGATAAAATTATCAAAATTATCAAAATTAGTGGAAAGAAATTGATTGTTAATTATTGATCAATTGATTAAATTTGTTAAACTAGAGAGGTTTTTTTAAATTTTTTTGAAAAAAAGTGTATAATAGCAATTAGGAGTTAGTTCATGGAAAATAGCCACAAAAGATATCCTCAAAATATTTAATAATAAAATAATATTCTCCATTCTTTCAGAAGTATTTTTCTGGCAATTTTACATGGATGCTGCAATTTTTTATATTAAAATAAACGAAATTAGCTGCGTACTTATTGCACGCATTTTGTCAAAAATTGTAAAAAAAAAACTCTGTAGCCCAAAAATTGGAGGTCCTGAAGTATTTTAAATTTTTTAAGTGGTTACAAAGCAAAAGAACAATAAACAATTAATTTTTTTTGCACTAATCATTCGTTTTTAGACTTTTATAATCGATCTTCAATGTATGAAAAATTTCACTCCAGAGCCCGCGACTTTTCTAGCTCCTAGTAGTGTCCCCTTGACAAATTTCTGACAAATCTCAGAAAAATCTCTATAGACATACGGGTCCATGTCTAAAAAACTCGCGACAAAAAAACTTGGTCAAAAAAACTCCGTCAAAAAACTCCATCAAAAAAACTTTACGACAAAAAAACTTGGTAAAAAAAAACTCCGTCAAAAAAACTTAACAAAAACCTGAAAAGAAGGTAATGAAAAGCAAAGGTAATGAAAAATAAAAGAAGAATAGAAGAATATCAATTATATTTCAATTCAATAGCAAAACGACAGTAACAAACTCCAAAAACCGAAATTCAAGTGGGCAAAATAATAAATATGAGTCATATTCTTTGTATAGAACCGAGAGTAATATTCTAATCTTTCCAAATAATTACTCCCGACAAAAACAAAACCGAGAATAATATTAACAAGGATTTTTAGTTTTCGAAAAGATGAATTTAAATTTAGATTTTTTCATTTATTTAAAATTAATACCAAGTTTTCATTGGCGAAGTTTTTTTGAACAGAAGTTTTTTTGGTTGAAGTTTTTTTGCCAAAAGTTGTTTTAGACAAAAGTTTTTTTTCACCGGTTTTTAGACAAAGTTTTTTTGACCAGGTTTTTTTGACGAAGTTTTTTTGACTAAGTTTTTTAGACGTGATCCCAGACATACCGTAATTGAACAATTTTTTAGTCATCATCAGTATAGAATTTGTCGTGTATTGAACAGCGAAATCTAGTTGACACGAGGCCGCCGGTCGATAAGGACGTACCGCGCGAAATGGGCGTTGTACTTGAGGGGTTAATTTCCTATTTCATTATGCACATCTAGGTAATCCTCGATTTGGTCCCCAATCACACATCTGATGACCATGAGTGGTTCCAACAAAGTAAGGCTGGGAATGAAACCTACAAGGACTATTACATCTGGCGTCCGTCAACCGGTGACAATAACCCTCCGAATAATTGGCTCAGCCGTTTTGGATACACAGCTTGGAAATACGAAGCGACCCGAGAGGCATCGTACCTCCATCAATTCCACACCCGCCAGCCTGACTTAAATTACCGGAATCCAAAAGTTCAGCAAGAAATGGAAGTAAGTGTTTTATTCATTCCCTGAACGATTTCCTGTATACCAGAATGACTAATGTATTTGAACTACACCGCCCGATACTGATAGATTAGACAAGTGGCTAGATTACATTCGATTAGATCAGGTTTTTTGCGGTGAGAAGGCGATCAATAGTTGCCTTCCTATACAAACCTAATGACTGGTCTAGGCGATATCATCTCTCATGGTACAAGTTCAACCAATGTGATCATCACAACTGATAAGATAATGATAAGAAATTTCACATTATCGATGACGGGCATTGAATGACGAAATTCAATAATTTTCCGGAAAGTTGACCTTCGTAGCTATGGCTTTGGCAATTAAAATGATTTCGAGTATCTCTGGAAAGGTCATTAATTTTTTATATTCATGAACTATGAGAAGGCTCTCAGCATCCGTTTTGATCGAGCCGATACAGGCAGGCCCAAAAGCATGTGAGCAATACCAAAAAAAAAACAAATTTCAATTTGAGACTTTCGACCTCAAATTGAGACTTTCATTAATCTTACATTGAGTTCTGAAACCCTCAAAGTCTCAAGCGAAGACTGGAATATCTCAATTGTAACCTTTCGAATGTCTCAAGTTAAGACATTCGAAAGTCTCAACCTGAGACACTCGGAAGTCTCAATTCAAGACTTCAAAATCTCAATTTAAAACTTGATAATTTCACTTTAAACCCTCTGAAAGTCTCAATTTAAGACTTGAATGTTCCACGTTGAAATTTAAAAGTGTCAAGTTAAGACTTTCAGAAGACTAAAATTAAGATTTTCAAGTTTTCAAATTCTGACTTTCGACAGTCTCACGTTGAGACTTACGAAAACCTCAATTTAAGATCTCTGAAATCTCAAAATGAGAATTTGTTCAGGTTGAACGTAAATTGCATCCTAGTACGTCAAGTACACTTTCTGCAAATTGTATCCACCTTTTATTGAACCGTGAGTCAAGTGGAGACTCTGGTGAGCTTTGAAAATCACGAGTTATTGATCAAAAATCAATCAGTGTGAAAAAAATCAGTGCTCAATGTTCGTTGGCTGTATATACTGGGAAAATTTTTTTCTAATATCGGAAACATATTTTCTTGAGACAAGTAAATTTTCTTCAATTTCTTCATTCTCTCAGGCATCTCAACTCACATGACCCGAGAAAAGCCTCATGTTTTAAAATATTCTTGTACTCAAGTATGATTTTGTCGCAAATGAACTTACTTAAATCGCGTAGAAGAATCGTCAGTCTTCTAGTCTTTATTGTTTTCATGATCTTTTCATTATGCACTTCCAATATTGCAATATGTAAAATATTCATGACGTAACGCGGAACGATAGTGATGAATGAAAATTTATACGAGTTCCGTGAAGTGCACACATTCTGAGATTTAAGCCATTGCAAATAATTTACTTCTCTCAAGAAAATATGTTTCAGATATTAAAAATTTTTTTCTCAGTGTAGAAGCCTAAAATGATATATTCGAAAAAGCAGTCCAGTGTATCCAATATTTCAAATGCACGTTTTTTCCCCAAAATGTTTCAAAAAATGTGCAGAAGAACGATGACGAATCAATTTTTCAATATATAACTCCTAAATAGCGTATTTTTCATTTGTTTGTTATGAAAAAATACACTGAACATGTGCAATAATTCGTAATCAAAGTATCGCGATATTTATACTGAGTAAGTGTTAGAATATAGAAAAAGTCATTCGTAGCATTTTTTCTGCACATGTTTTCAAAAATTTTGTAGTGAAAAACAAATGATATATCTAAAACATTGGCTACACTAATTAACGGCCAATGAATAATGGGTTTTTTCACACTAGTGATCGGTTTTTACATATATTGAATATAATGTAAACATGGATATTATTACTTTAATAATCCGTGACGTTCAAAATTCACCGAAGTGTACCCTTAAGATGTTGCTATAAAATCAACCATCATCATGCATACAATCCCCATCAAATTTAGTGAATTTACAAGCGCTGAAGGCGTCTTGCACGGAATTGTATCCCAATTGGCATGTTTTCGTTATAGAATGTGAAGAAAAAAAAAATAACTAGTCACCTTCACTCGCGTGAGAGGTATTCGGAATGCACTTCGCTCATATACTTTTGAATCAGCCTGTATGCACAATATCACAGTGTGACTCCTTCCAGTAAGATGCGTCAAAAGATTTAATTCGAATTTCAATGGCCGGATGTCTGTCATTACATCGCATTCCACAAAAATTGATTATGATGTTTGCCAACTACCCGTGTCTCATGAATTTGCAATTATCCACAGGAGATAATTAAGTTCTGGTTGAGCAAAGGCATAGATGGGTTCCGTGTTGATGCTGTTCCCTTCCTATACGAATTTGAGAATCTGCCCGACGAGCCACTATCGAATCTCCCCAATGTGACAGCGAATGAATGGGAATATTTGCTTCATGATTACACCCAAGATCTGGACGAAACCTATCAGTTAGTTGGATCCTGGCGAAAGGTCCTTGATGACTACGCAAATTCTACCAACTCTGATGAAAAGGTAATATTGTTTGATTTTTCTCTGAAAGCAGAACTATTGTAATCGAAATATAAGTTGATTATGCAACGTAGGTGATGATGACCGAAGCATACACAAGTCTGAAGAATGCAACCAAATATTATGATTTCGGCGCGCACGTTCCCTTCAATTTCCGATTCATCACGGATATAAACCGCAGTTCGAACCCCACTCAGGTGAAAGGTGTCATTGATACGTGGATGGCCGAAACTGCACTAAGGAAAGGAGCTGTTGCTAATTGGGTGGTCTGTATATCATAGCATGAATTTTTCAACTTTTTATCAATCAACCGTTATAGCTTCCGAATATGTATCCCATTTTACCCAGAAAAATTAATTACTAACTACAACGTATCTATAATCAAGTATAATAACAACAATTTTTTTTATTTTCAAACATCAGCAAAAGTTTTTCCGTGTGGAAGCAAAAATTTCAATTATTAAGATGGAAATTTACTTGGAACGGGACACAATTCACTAGTGAATAGGGATACAGCGAGACGTGAGAGAAACGAGACGAGACAAGAAGAGTCATTCGAGACAATGACAGAAACGAGACGAGACGAGAAAATCCGGTCGAGAACGAGAGAAACGAAAGGCGAGACAAGAGTCGAGAGAGCCTCTCCCTCTCTACCCCTTTGTGTATTTTTTTCCGTACAAATTGGATTATAGAGACGAGATGAGACGAGACGAAAGAAGAAATTGATTTCGTGTTTCGATATGAGGCGAGACGAGAAGATATAGTTACTCGTTTCGTCTCGTCTCGCGGCATCACTTGTAGTGAAGACAAAAGTATTTGACTCTGTAGATGAATTTTTGTTCTAATCATAATGAAATTTGCTCATGGAGCAAAAAATTAGTTGTTAGCTCCACATTTTGTTCCCATAGCGCTTGGTAACTCCGACACTCAATGGAAATTAAACGCAGTAATCTCCCACAAGACATAATGATTCTTATGAAGTAGAATCAAATCACAACAGAAGCTGTTGATAGGTGAATTCATATGATAATATTATGCAGATGGGAAATCATGATAATCCAAGGACTGAATCGAGATACCCCGGTCGTGGTGATCAGATGACAATGCTGGCAATGATTCTGCCAGGAGTAGCAGTCACATACAATGGTGAAGAAATTGGAATGGTCGACAAAACGGACATCAGCTATCAAGATACTCAAGATCCCCAAGGTTGCAATGCTGGGCCCGATAAGTACCAACTGGTTTCCCGTGATCCTAACAGGACCCCAATGCAATGGAGCGATGACACCAATGCCGGTGAGAATCTCAAAAACTCTTGACCCTCCCCTTACCTTCCTTACGTCCAACAACCGCTGTCATATCTCTATTTTTTCCTAGGATTCAATGACGGAGCGACACCATGGATCCCCATAAACGATAACTTCATCGAATTGAACTTGGCTGCGCAGAAGGATGCGGATACTTCTCATTACAAGAACTACAAGAATTTGGTTAACTTGAGGAAGACCATGGCCCCACTCAAATCAGGAGATCTCAAAACTATTGTATCGTCCGACAACAAAACTCTGACAATCGCAAGAACTGCAAATAGCGAAAGCATCATGCTGGTTATCAACTACTCTGACGACGAGAGTGTTACCGTAAATTTGGCGAGTCAGTTAACTGCGCTGGATTCCAAGGGAACAGTTCTAGTAACGACTTTGGGAACCACTACTAAAGAAGGGTATTAGAAACTTTTCAGATTGTGATAAAGATGATGTTTTTTTTTCGAATTTTATTATATACTCTGTTCGTTCGTCTTAGGGCCTCTGTGGATCTGAGCAAGCTGCAACTCGCACCCAAACAATCTTTGGTTCTACATACAGCAGTGAAGAGTACAGGTACCAACACTGGGGAGCCTGATGGTGCTGCGAATATTGCACTATCTTCTATCTTAGCCGTATTCGTCATTTTCTTTTTATCATTGGAATTTCTTCACTAATATTTGAAATTGTATTTCTGTATACAAAATTGTATGTATTGATTTTATCAATAAGGGTATATTTCTATTTTGGACAGCAGAACGTTATTAAAAGAAAACACGTTCTATAATATTTTGGAGCTTCGATCCCTCTTTAATATAATTCTAATCAAATATGAGTGCAAGTTCAGCGCAGGTTTACCATGTCAAATTGGATACAGGTTCGAACCTGGTCAGGATGTCCTGATTAGACTTTTGAATGAGGGTTTTAAAAAAGTATTTGGATCCAATGCGGTCCAGGTGATGCTGATCTAGGTGATGCCGAACTTCATCTGTCAACAACGACTGGATCCAAATCATAACCGGTATTGAGAAGACAAATTGGGTTCTAACATTTGAATCAGCCTGGGATCCAAGCAAGCGTATCATTACTGATCAATGCTTGAAGATATAGTGATAGCCCTTTGCGGTCAAGCAGACTCGATGGATCGACGGGTATCTTTTCCTTAAAAAATGCTGCATGTACGCAACCATCATCAGGGGCTAATTTACGGAATACAAAACCTTTAAAACACCTGATGATGGTTGCATACATGCAACCGAAACGTCGCGTATTGTTCAAGGAAAAGTTAAGATTTTAGTTATTTCATCGAGTCTGCTTTATGACCACAGAGACCAATAACCATGTCATCATTACTGATCAATATTAAGTTTGATCAATCAGTCTCTGACTCGAGCATGATTTGAATTTCCACCCGACTCTTCAAGTTGACTCCCAGCTTCCGCTAACTCTTCTGATCTGCGCAATTCTGTAAGACAGTCAAACCATTCTCCTACGAATAGTGGAGTCACGTTGCACTATGAATTTGTTTCTCTGAGATGCATCTGAGATCAGACTCAGAAAGTATTCCTTGAAAGGGAATATAATTTCCAAGTGAAAAATATTCTCCGATAACCAAATCACGAGTCAGATATCTTCCACAAGTGTAATAGCAATTTCTAACTCAATTCTTTCTGAAAAAAAATTCAGTTCTTACACCTCAGTTCCTCCATCTTAATCTAAAAATATTGAACCCCATCAATATCCTTCCAACAACTCACCACTTCCTGTTAATCCATTTTTGTTTTCCCTTACATATGATCGAATATTCATGAAAAGGTTCAACGAATCATTCAATTAACCTTAACAGCTATCACAACAAAATCCATCTAAATGTCCAACTTCGGGGAAAAACATTTCGTTACGTACCACCCCCTCAACATCAATCGATCTTCCACAGAGCACTCGACCTGTCGTCTGCGGGTGCCAAGATCGAAGGTTATACCCCACACCTCTAGACAAGGAGAAAAAAGTATTTCCTTCCCCCTTCCCAAAACTGCTGCAACGGAAAGCCATTAAAGAAAGCATATTATCCACCCTCACTAACAGGTTCATTCCCCCGTCGTTTTTTTCTTTATTCCTCGCCAGAGGAGTCCCACGAGGTCCATCCTATAGATAGATTTCATCGGTGAACATGGTACACCATCATCTAGGTGCCTTCAAAACGCGTTTACTCACGGCTGCTAAGTAGAAAATCGTGTCTGGCGTATGAACCAGAGACTGGTGGCACTACTGCCAACTGTTAGAAGACAAGGGGGCGAGGAGGAGGCACCGAGACCTCCTTAAACATATTCCCAGGCACGGGCATACATTTAACAGAGTGCAGCCTTAATACCAACAACCGAGACACATCCGCATGAAACTTTGGGATGAAAATCTTGGACTGGAATGCTAATGAGTTGAAATTAGCATCGAATGGAGGGAGTGAAAATTTTGAGCTAATTCGAAGACGATGTACACACGTGGCACCAGAGTTGCTAGGGGATAAGCGACTCGGGAGTTACTTAAACTGTTGGGGAAATGTTGTTTTATTTCAATTTAAGAAAAATAGTTTTCGAGAGAGAAGTCCCAGAGAAGCTTCTGGTATAAATGTTTCCTTGTTGCGAGGGAGGGCTTTTCACTGCAGAAGTTGCGGGAAGTCGACTCGTTCAGAATCTTTTTTAGCAAGTTTTTGTTCAGCAAAATTCTATTGGAGATTTAATTTGTTGTTTATTGAATTATGATTGATATCTTCAGATAAGAAGTCCTTATGATAGTTGGAGTGTTTTAGAGTGAAGGCGATTTGATAACACGATTCTTAGATTGATTTACTCGTGTCTTGAGAATGATGATAAGCAGTCAATATATCTTTGATGGAAGTGATATGCATTTTTAATTATCAATTATATGATAACCATCTGATATCTCATGATGAGTGCTTAATTGAAAAATAATGATGATAATTCGTACAGAAGAAAAAGTTTTTGGAATTTATAAAAATTGATGAGTCTAAGGAAGTCTTTCTGAATATAAATTATTTATCCGATGATAGGCACGCACGGGATGAATGGAAAAAAAATAAACTGGAATCGGGTACATACCATTCCGGAATCAGGAATATCTGTATTCCGGAATCCGGAATAATATCCCGGAATCCGGGATATTTTATCGTCATTTCTGGAATAATATTTCGAAATATTGAACTGAGAAAAAAAATATTTTTACCGAATATCCAATTACTTCAGAGAAATATTGATTTTTTCACTCCCGTATTTCTCCTGCCGACTTATTCCCAGTCAATCCTCATTAGGTTTCAATTTTGACAATTATATTGCTCCAGAAGATGATCATGTTAGTTGTGACCTTGATTAAATTCCTTCAATACTTACCAACATTAAAAAATTAATCAAAATTTTTCCCTCTGGAAAATAATAATTTTAGGAAAAATGAATAAACTGAATAAAAAAATGAATTGCAGGAGTTCATCAAGGTCATGTGGGACAGTCATCCTCTAGAGAAATATGATTCTCATAATTGAACCCTAATCAGGCTCATCTAGGTATGACTCGATATGAAAAATACGGTTTTAAAAACATATTCACTTGAATTCGGACTGCGGATCGTCATTGACATCTCTTATAGACGCAACGTACAATATTTCAATGCGAGGAAGTCCCCGGATTATTATTCCGGAATCCAAAATATTGTTAAATAAGTCACCGTTTAAATAAAAATGAGTGTATTAAATAAAATGGGCGAAAAAAATAATGAATAAAAGATACAAAAGGAAGTGACATGTCCGCGGACTAAGAACAAAAATAAAAGTGACGAAAAAAGAGACGATTGTTACATGAATTTAGTTGAGAGAGAGGAGAAGAACAAATAGGCAACAATATTATATACCACATTCAAGGATATTCTTATTCCATGATTTGAAAACTTTTTAGACATAATATGTCTCTAATTAACACTTAATCAATCTTATTCTCATCTATTATGAATTAATAAAAACCGATTCGATTTGAAATTCCTTCTAGCAAAGTTGACTTTTCGGATAAGAGTGAGAAGAATAAAATTTCTAGGGAGAAAAAAATTTACAAAGAAAAAATATTATACGTGTGAAATAAAAAGCAGTCTGGAATTAATTGGTTGAAGTGGAGTAAACTCGCGTTTTCCTATCCCAACGTGATAAACGGCGCTCCGGGTGTGGAACTTCTCTTCAGGTTTTACTTGAGCACTCGACTCACGTGCCGGTTCAATGTCGTAAAGACAAATAGTTCTTTCCTGTTTATTTTTTTACTTTCTTTCTTACTGTTTTTCCCTTCACGGAAGGAAAGAAGTTAAAAAGAAAGGAAAAAACAACTTGAGCAGCGATGCGTCCGATGAAAGTGGGACGCGAGAAGTATGAACACGATTGAAGCCGCCGGAACTCAAGATTAATGGTGAATGTAGAAGGGTACTACGTGTTTGGGATAGGTCCAAAAAGATTTATGTCAATGAAATAATTTATGTTACAACATATAGTTTAAAACAGCTGAACAAATGATAGAATTAGCAATAGAATTTGTGCCGAAACTGTAAAATTTACCCGGGATTCCATTAGGAATTATCTCAGTGAACGTGAATGATTGCTCAATATTGCGTATAATTTTTATGCAAATAGAGAACGATATTTGACCGAACGCGTTCGGTAAAATTTCACTGCCATTCATGCCCACACCCAGAAAAATGGTTCTTCTGAATCAAATAGAAATTTTTATTTGACATTTTTTACTTATTTCAAGAAAAAGGATTGAATTATATTAAACAAACAATTTATGTATTTCAAATAATTTATATTTCATATCGAATAAACAATTTATTTATTTCAAATAAATAGTTGTCTTATACTAAGAAAATCACATTTTTGTCATTCATGCCCGTTAAGTGGCGTTTTCGTGGTGTGTTTTAGAACCCGTAAGTGGGATTTACCAGGCCATGGGCCGGTAAGTAAAACCTAGCCCCGATTTCACGATTTACGGGCCATGGCCTGTTAAGTTAGACGTGAAGTGAGTCCCTCTTACACTATAGCTCGTGCGGCTGAACTATAGTTTGCCACTAAAACCCAAAATTCACGAGGAAAATCGTAACAAATTCCGTTAAACAAAAGAGCGAAATGAATTTCATTATACCCGACAGTGACGAAGAGGAGTCACAAGAGATTTTTAGTGAAGTGAATAATNAACACAAATAACTATTTCGTGTATTTTGTGAGAAAACTTCGAAAGTGTGTTTCAGCCATATTCGTGGGCTATGAGGAAAAAAGTCGTATTGATCGTTTAGGTGTTTCAGACCAACTAAGTAGAAAAAGGTCATACGATCCTAATCCAGGAAATGTGTAATTTGAACGATTTGAGCTCTCTACAATCATTTGGATCGAATTTTTTATTACACTTTTCACTCCAGTATATACGACCATCTTTCACCATTGTCTCCCTGATCGTAAAATCATGGAACAGAAATTTCTCCCCCCCCCCCCCTAAATGTCTTACGTGATGAATGTAGATCCCCTAATATTTATCGCCTGTCTTTTGTTCAATATTTTTATAGTCTATTACCATCTCAAAGTGATGTTCAATTATTCGTGTCAAATTAATATTTATTTAGTTCAAAGAAAAAAATTTATTAGATTTAAATAAAGATTTGTTAATAGTAAAAACAAAAATTTATTTAAGATAAACAAAATTTCCAGCACAATTTTTTATTTAATTTGAAAAAAAACTTAATTTGATACT